TATTATATGCCAGCCATATACAGTTGCCGAAACTGTCTTTAAAAATATTTGCTTACATGCGGCAGGTAAGTATATTTATGTATTAAATATTATATTTATATTTTCACTTAAAATATATTTCCCAAAATCTTTTCAACTCCTATTTCCCTACTTTTTATATTTAAAAATTTAATAAAAGGCGAAGAGCATATAAAAATAATTGTGATGTATGTTCAAAGCGCAACAGTTAAATTGACACTCATACACACACACACTTGCCAAAAAAAAAGTACACGTACGCACGTTAACACACACACCGATGCAAAGACACACGCTTTCGATTTTCCAAGAAATAACTGGTTACGTACTTATGTATGTATATATTAAACATTGCCGAAACTTACTTGCAACACACACAGTATATTTATACACTTATAAATATGTACACATCTGTATATATGTATTTTCTTGCAACGCACCAACTTATATCCTGCCAAAAGATTATTGTTTAATTTTTATCTTGAACTTTTTACGCGACATTTTTTATTGTTTTTTTTTTTAATTTCTACACAATTTTTATTGAAATTATTCACTTTTGACACGGCGACGCGCACAATATACAAAACAGTGATTTCTACATACAAAAATCACTAGTCGGACGCACAAAACTCAACGCCACGCGACGCTCGTCTGTTCTGCCCGACGTCCAGAGTACTTATCCGCCGTTGCATCCAAATATTACATTGCTTTTGCCATTTCGACCAGTTCCAAGTCATCGAGCGATTTGCTCCAACACATCCCAGCGCATACATACGAGTAATCAGCGAGTAGAGACGATAGAATTCATTACAGAGAACTGTGGTGCATTTGGCGCACGTGAGTTGGATCTCAGTGAGTCGTATCAATTATCCTACTATGCTCTCGCTCCTGCTTCACTCAATTATTGAGTGATTTTTTTTTAATAATTATGAGTTTTCTAATTCTTTGTTGCGATTATCAAATGTAATGATACATACACACATACATATATGGAAAGAGATAGTTTATGGCAAGTTACTTTTATTTTATATGTACCTATTTTATAACAAGTTGATAAGAGCCTATAAAACATCGTCTCTGAGTTGAATACATTTTTGGAGCTGATAGGCAAGGGAGAGCGGCGACTACCATTTTACATTCTGCAGTGATGGAAGCGTAGAAATGCGTTGATAAGTTTTGCATTTTGTGATGCGATAAGGCTCAGTGCATCTACAGTGTGCATATGTATGTATTAATGTATATTGTTTACTCATTTTGGAAATAAATATATTATACTGACAGCTCGTTAGACCAAAAAAATATAGGGTGTTGAAAGTCAAAGCAGACATTTTGAAAATAAATTCAGTTTCGCTAACTCCTCTGATGAACGACCGTGTTCTTTTGCAACTCTTGTAACTTGCTCAACATAGCCAGCGGAGCCACTGTTCCTTTACTTATTACAGCAGCTGCTCCCAATGTCGACTAACCGGATGTTGTCATCGCCTAGACCTCCACGACATATGGCACGATGGGAAAGACGCGGGAACATAGATGAAATTATCTACGATTTCAAGGTTATAACTGTCAACAGTGACGTGGGATTCAATATATGAATGCTCTGACAGTTTGTTATAAGACAGGAAATATTTCCTTTAGACCTCATTCATTACCAGACCCATACGCTTGCTTTCTTATACAGTCTGGAGAGAGTTGTACAAACAGTAGTTGAGGCGAGGAACTGCTGCAGACACTTTGTCAGTTTTTCATCACTATATCTGAATAGCTTACCCGGTAAATCATCGGCTTCCACCGTTTTGTTGTTCATCGGGCGTGCAATCGCTATTCGCTCGATGTCATAGTCGTGTAATAGAATATATCTATTCCATCGGTATCGTTAAGAAATTTGGTATCATCACCACGGTATGTTTCACTATCATTGCCATTCAGCGGACAGAAGTAGTATTTTCTCCATAAACTCTTTTTACCCTGGGCATCGGTTGCAGATCACCCTTCTGGGATCATGCAAAAGGTTTTGGGTTTTAGCTCTGCACCAACTAATATCCAACTTTTCAACATCAAATCTTCCTTTAGTTTGTTGATGGGCAAGAGGGTGCGTAGTTTCCTCCGAAAATATAGGGATCCAAGCCGATACTTGCACCTAGTGGCTTACGCCCGTCTTAAACACTGGAGACATGTCGTCTGTCAATCACAATATGGTCGATATGTTTACGAGTTTTCAATCCGAAGACGCCATGTAGCTTAAATAATTTGCTTATCCCCCCTGCGGGTTAGGGGTTCAAGAATTTACTCGCGGTAAGGCATGCCTATCGTAAGAGGTGACTAAAATCCAATAGTTCCCGCGACAGTCGGGTTTTTATACCGGAACGACCCGGATTTTTTACTGTCACTCCTGCAACATTCCCTAAAAGGTACTTTGGGGAATATTTTTGCGGTTACAACAACAAAGACAATAATTCACTTATGTCGTAAATATCTTCTTTGTTCACCCTGGCGTTTGAAGTCCCGTAGTTGGGTCAACGATCATAGGTGCCTTCTGTTCAGTTGGGGCATATTTTTAAAATTTAAGCTCCTTATGTGACTAAAACCTACTCGTTTCCGTCCTTGTGCTGTCCATCTCGTCTCTTGGACGGCGGTGAGGGCAGCCCTAATTTTTTCGAGAACTTAAACCAGCTGGGCAGAGATACTCATGGGCATGAAAAGTCAGCGGGGATGTTACTAAGAAAAAGAAAAATGGGCTTCTGGAGCTACCTCGTCTGCTTCCCAATCGTTGCAGTGTATTTGAAGCTGAGACAGCAAATTACATTGGAACTTCTATTTTCAACGATAGTCAAACAACGACTAAGTCGCATAGTTCGTTAAGAATAAACTCAAAAATTGTGCTGCAAATGGAACAGACCGACCAATGTGTCACCGAGGTTTTTGACCTCATAGACATTGAGAGATGATGAACTTGTCAGGCAAGGCACGACCAAGAAAATTCTGCTCTTAATAGAATGTATCCGTATGCCCTTTACCTTAAAATGCAAACCTTCACTTCCCATTAACAGGAAGCGATTTTCAAAGACGCTGTAAAAAATCCCGTAAGGTCTTAGTATTACTTTTTTTCTTTCCAACAACCATCTATATTCGAGATCAGGTTTTTGAAAGTCGTAATAATCATTCTTAAATCTATCCAGGCTGTTTTAAAGTCCGATTTCGATCGGAAATGCCCAAACGTGTTCTGAAGCCCCCATCCTTATTTGCGAAGAATTCGGACAGCCACTTTTCACAAGCCTCTTTTGAAGTCAACTTCACACCACCAAGGGCATTCGCCATGGACAGGAACAGGTGGTAATCACTTGGCGCTACGTCCGGGCTATATGGTGGATGCGATAAAACCTCCCATCCGAGCTCCCGTAGCTTCTGACGAGTCATCAACGAAGTGGGTGGTCTGGCGCTGTCCTGATGGAACACTACACCCTTCCTGTTGGCCAATTCTGGACGCTTCTGGTCGATCGCCTGCTTCAAGCGGTCCAGTTGTTCGCAGTAGATGGTAGAATTAAGCATCTGGCCATATGGGAGCAGCTGATAGTTGATGTTTCCCTTCCAATCCCACCAAACACACAGCAAAACCTTCCTGGCCGTCAATCCCGGCTTGGTCACTGTTTGGGACGATTCACCGGCCTTCGACCACGACCGTTTTCGCTTGATATTGTCGTATGTGATCCATTTTTCGTCGCCAGTCACCATCCGCTTCAAGAATGGGTCGAGTTCGTTCCGTTTCATCAGCATATCGCAGGCGTTGATTGGGTCCAGAAGGTTTTTTTGCGTCAAATTATGCGGCACCCAAACATCAAACTTTTTTTTGTATACAACCTTCTGCAGATGGTTCAAAATGGTTTGGTGACTAACTCCCATCTCCTGGGCGATGTCACGAGATGCCATATGCCGGTCTAACTCGATGTATTCCATGATTTGATCAGTATTTGTCGTCACAGGTCTTCCGCCGGCTGGCTTATCCATGGTGTCATTTTCACCGGCTCTGTATCGTCGAAACCATCCTCCGCGGTTCGAAGTGATAGAGTACCATCCCTCAAAACACCATTAATCTCACGGAACGTTTCTCTAGCGGATTTGCCTTTAACGAAGGAAAACTTTAAAATAGCGCGAATTTCGGCGTTAGTGAACTCCATGTTTACACTTCTATAACTGTTGAACGCAATATACAAACTAATCATACATAGCGTTGTTTTGTAGGTTATGTCAAGACCTTTCAAATTATGTACAGTGTTGCCAGATACGAGCTTTGTAGCGCTTTGTACAATACATAGCCGCGAAATTCAAAAGACAAAAAAGCGGAAGGGAGATATTTGACAACCTTATATTATAACGGTAGTATTAACACACTTGCTGCACAAGCTTGCGACTTATTTAAGCGTTTCTGGTAAATTTAAGAACTCCAAAATCAGCTTGAATTTTACAAAAGGTAAGATTTCAAGCTGTTTTCAATGTCGGTCCGAGCACGATATAAATATCGTCCCCGATTATCTGGGCTGATTCGCATAGAACCTGTTTCGCCTTGCTTGACAGTTGAGGATATGCCTTAATTAAAGCCTAGGATATGCCTTAATTAAAGCCTACAAATTACGCAATATTGTTTATTAACATTGTAAAATTAATTTAAATTTACGAATATGAAGTGAATTGCATTGTTATTTTCACTCTCCTATGCAGTTTAAAAACTAGTATTGCATAATAGAATTGATTAAGTGTAAAAAAGTTGAGTGTTCGGCGTTATTTTACTTCACCTCGCTTCGCCTCGCCCAAACTACTTTCGATCTTCAAATACATACTTCGAATATATCTGTCGAAATACTACTCTGAAGTAAAACTAGGCTAAACTCTTATGTGAATCAGCCTTAAACTTGACACTAAAACTACTTGTTTGATTTAAATGTTAACATCTTACACCGTTGTAACAATTTTAAATTATTTATGCCAATATTTAATTTGAAAAAAAATGCCTGTAAAAGCATTTTCTGATTTACATTCAATATTTTTTAAATGTGTAGGTGAAAATATGAAAATAATCTTGTACACGCCCGTACAATCTGGCCTGCCGAAGCGAATGTAATCATTAAAACTCAAATAACAGCAACAAATTGGACTCTCATGCGACAATAACTGAGCACATGTGAGTATTTTTTTTTATTAATGTAAAGTGCTAATTGCTCGTCAGGCAATAAAATATTTCACGTGATCCGCTACAAATTAATGCACTAACAACGATGTTGCATGGCATATGAAGCGTCTTTAAGTTATCTACAAGGTCTAACAAAAAATTAGACTACTTAAAAAGTAGCGTATATTTTTTATTTAATTCACAGTCTTTATTCTGCCAGTTGCTTTATATCCACCATCATCAAAATAACGATCATGGCTCAAGAGCAGTAAAGGAATACACGAACTTTTTAAAGACTTTAGTTTCCTTTTCCATTTGTTTAATTTTTCTGCAAATAACAAAGAATTGAAAAGGAGATCTTCTAAATAAATTTAATAATTACTTCATTTATGTGAGAAATATTTTTTTTTAAGAAAGCCAAAGGAATGTTGTCCACCTGAAAAGATTGCAGCTTTTGCAAAAAGTGTACTTGAGATGGCGCCCAGATTCTTAGAGCGCATGTTTCGATTGTTCGTTAACGAGAACAGCCAGATAGAGCTCTCTAGAGATGCATGTGAGAAATTGTTAGGTATACAATGGAACTCTGTGGTGACAATATTGGTTTCATGTAAAGAGGAGTAAACTGGTTGTTTAGCTGTGTGTATGCAATAAAGAAGCTTAACAACAAATTTTAAACACTCCGGTTCTGTACTTCGACTTGAAGCGAAATTTTCTCCGATCGTAAAAGTTGGTATTCTGCGTATCTTTCAAATCTCTTCAATTCTATCCCAAGCGAATTTAGAGAAGGTGAAGTTGTCACATCATATGCTTGTTCTTCCTTCCATTTCAACAAATTACACAAACAAAATAAATGAGAAATAGGTTTTGACATTACGAAATTTTAATTACACCAAGAAAATGCATTGAACGAATTTCGTTCTTGACTTTTCGAAACTACGATTACACAAACAAAATAAATAGGCTTTTTGTTTTTGTATTCTTGCTACTACCGTTTTTGAACTTGCCTTGGTTCTAAATATTCTGTATTTCGAACGTAGTTACGTTTTTGTACGTTGCAATTCAATGGACGGAAATGTGCTAAAAGGCAAGCTATGAGCACCGGTGGAGGTCTACGCCGATTGAAATGTGTATATAACCTCCTTCTGACGGGAATCAAGGCATGTACGACTAGCATAAGAGATGCTAAGGACAATGGCAGTTATCTTGAGGTATACCATGTAGTCGATGCAGATGACATACTGTCAACTAGCTGAGTTAATAGCCAGCATAGAGAGAGTTCAGACAAACAGGGCACTGGTTCTTTGCTCAGGGAGCAAACAGCTCTGCAAAAACAGTTTTCTGAAGAATATAATAGTAAAAATATATAATATGGAATAAAGTGTCACCTATTTGTGAGACATGAATCGCTCTTTAGAGAGTATGGCGGACACTATAGCGAAGCAGCTAGAGTAACCCCCGGCGTGTTTAGGTTCAAGAATTTACCCGCGGTAAGTCATGCCTATCGTAAGAGGTGACTAAAATCCAATAGTAGGGTCTTTTTTTACCAGGACGACCCGGATTTTTATCCGGCCAACAACTGTCACTCCCTCAATATTCCCCAAAAAATTACTTTGGGGAATATTTGTGCGGTTACAACAACAACAACAACGACAACAACAACAACAACAACAACAACAACAACAACTAAAGTATCTGAAAGGGTGAAAACTGATATTAAGCCGCAGATGCTGAGTTGGGACCCAAGGTTTCAGCCTTAACATAATTAATTTTTGTATTTTTCGCCTTTATTTTTGTTTGTTTATTTATTTTCTATTTTTTTCGTCTATATAAAAATTAATACTGAATTTCATTATATTTAAGAATTATTCATTCGTGAAAGTTGTGAAATGTACTAAATTATTTGATTGAAAATGGAAAATATAAATCACAATATTTGTTTCAATAAAATTTTTAAAAAGAGATTTTATTTTCATTTATTTAGTTTATTCAAAATCAATTTGCCTAACTACGACTTCAACGGTGCGGAGAACGGGAACGTATTCGAAATGCAGGAAAGGACTGAAAATCTTGACTTTTTACAGGCCAATTCTTAGTGTTAGCGGTAAATTAAATTTTGTTACTTCTTTTAACACCCGAAATTGAATTTGGTTTTCTGTCGAACTGCTTACAATGTTTGAAAAAAATTGGGTAGCACTGCTTTTTTCATCCATATCAAATTACATTTGCCAGTTGAGAAAGTATAAAAAAAAAAAAATATTCATATCGAAATGGAAGACGGTGCACAACAAAATAAATAAGTTTCATTTATTTGTTTATTAAATCATAAATATTTCAACCTAATTATGAAAAATATGCCTGGAGAACAAAAAAAGCTGAATGAAAACGTTGTCTTACAAATTAAAGGGCTATTTTTTAGTCTCGAAAACTGCTTAAAATACGGCTTTTTGCACTTTTTTCTCCATCTTCAATGAATTCCGGGCTTAAAATATGCCTACTTATTTTGGTTTGGCAGTTATTTTTGTTACCTCCTATTTCGTTGGTAACAAAATTTACCGGATGACAGTGAACTCAGAATACGAAATAGTAACAAAATTTACTGAACGGTAATTTTTAATACCAAATTAAATTTTGGCCTAGACAGAATAGGTCTATTATTCGACTTAAATTCCTACCAATCAATAAGACCTTGCTTGACACTAAGCACCTCCTCCTCCGTGTATGTTTCCCAGTTTCTTAAACAACAAACTTCTTTTTTGATCAAGTTAATAAATTTTTGTATGAAAACAGTTCAAAAATATTTTATTTAAAATTTTAGTTTTTTTTGTACTGTAAATAAAAAGTTAATTCCTGTAAATTAAAGTCAATTTTAATTGTTTAATCAGTATCCTCTTTGAAGAACATTTCCAGCAACGATGGTCTTGCACATTGATCACCATCCAAACGAACAGGGGACTTCCAACGCACTAGCGAAGGTATAACCGATATTGGTGCTATTGGGTCCTTGCGAAATGGATTTTGCATATCTTTCCAACTGAAACAGAAAATCACATAATTATATATTACTAGCTACATATTTTTTACACTTATATAGATGTTCATTTAAGTCAACTTACAAAGGACGCGGCCCAACATCCACAACTACAAATACAGATTTTTCATCTGCGTGCTCTTTTAAGGCGGAAAGCACAAATGGTTCGGCTGTGAAATAAAAAAAAAAAAAATAGGGAGAATATATTCGGAATATATAGGAACAAGAAGTATAATATTTTCCGCTGATTATCTCACCTTCATTGCAGTCAGGGCACCAACTTTTACCGGTCTCATCCTTTTCTCCAGTAAAGTACACATTTATTTGGTTGTTACTACCATCATTTGTCAACTTTTCTACAGTTGAGCGGAATGCCTCATAGCCACTCACTTTCACCACATCCATCTCTGCTACAGATGTCTTCAATTTGCTGGAACTGCTAAAGTAATAACCTAAATCCGGTTAGTATTGTTAAAAAAAATCAATATATCTTTATCACCTCGTAGTACCCAGTGTTATCAGCTTTATAATTTAGATTAGGGTAACAGATATAAAATAGTTATGCTATAGTTCTGTAAGAATGTAGCCGGCAATTTGTAATTAAATGCCTTTGCATATTTGTTTTCGTGTTCTGAAAACAGCTGATTGAGCTGTTACACAGCTGTTTGAAGTGTTGCCAGATGTAACAGCCTCCGGAGTAGTGTTACTTTCAAAAGAATGACCAACATGTCGAAAACTACTGGCACACTATGATGAATCACGAACAGTGTTGGTTGATACTGGACTGGATATGTAGAGCGGAATACTCTTATTATATATATAATTAGCGCTTTGTAACCGCTGTAGCGATTTTTCGGCCGGGGCCCCTCCTCCAATTTGCGTCTTGATGATTTTTTCCAACAAATGGAGGGACTCATAGTTCACACCAAGCCGCCTCCGAACGGCTAATGGTTTTTTTACGACGAACCTTTTTTTCGCGTCAGAAATACACTCGGAGGTGTTGACATTCCCTTCCGATGGGCGCCCAAAATTAGAAAATTTAACTTAATTTTTTATTTAAATTAATTTTCCACAAGTTTTGAATGTTGGTGGCACCGCGGAATGAACCCGAGCTTTCTGAATGTCAGTACAAAATGCTAACCACTCGGCTACCGCAGCCGAGCGTATTACTCTTCCTATGTCGTATTAGATCCTTCAGTCGCGCGTGAGCAAGGAGCATCTTGCTGAGTGAACTTAGTCATTCGTTTCCTCGAGATGTAATTGCTTTTCTCGTCTACTCTTCAGAGAGCCTTTATCTGGTGGAGATAGTCGTAATTGCGCTTAGGAACCGGATAAGTAAGTCTAAATAATCGAGGTAATCTAATTGGAGGTCGATGGATTCGGACCAAAAGGAGATACGAGTTAGATAGATTTATCGGTTTTAGAGGGCATGTAAAGAGGTGCTTAGTGTCGTATGGGGTCTCGTTATATGCGGGACATACGTTAGGTATGTCGGGATCGAGTCTGGATAGGTAAGAGTTTAACCTGCTACAACATGTAAGTTGCACCAGTATTAGGTGGATCTCTCGAGGCAGCTCTTCATCTCCGAGCTGTTTTCGGCGTCAAACCGACCTCTTAGTTTGTTGAGCTTAATAGGTTTTTTCGTGTTCTCTTTTATGTTTTTCAGTGAAGTACTCTCGCAGATACTTAGACTTTCTTTCAAATTTCCATTGGAAAAATAAGTTTTAACGTTGTTTTCAACACCCACGGTCATAGCTACCAGCATATGCTAGCGCGCAAAACTGTAAACAAAAAAGAAATGAAACAACCATCGAACTTGACACACTTTCTGAGCAACTTACTTTGCACTTGAACTTCTTGGACAAGTCAGCGACCAACAGTTCTGTAGAAAATGCCAAGAGCAACCTTGCGGACTTGGCAGAATTTCCAATTCGTATAAAAAAAAAAAAATATGCTTAGCACAACGAAAAGTATGGAGCGAGCACAACAGGCCAAAACGAGTGACCGGAGTTATTTAAACAGCAGTCCACAACATAGGTTAAGCATACCAATTTTGGAACTTTGATGGAATCATTCGAGTAGAGTATAGAAAAAATATGGGTAAGAAGCTTCCGTCAGTTTGTATTTTTAGTTCTTCTAAAATATTTTTATTGTATTGTTCCAGTATATTTAAAAGGACTCTTCACAAAAGCGCTGCTTTCAACCACACTCACATTGCTAGTGATTAACATAAGCCAGGATGTGGAAGCGGCTACTACCAAAATCGTATACAAAAAGCCAATTTTCAGCAAACTACATACACACAAATACAGAAGCTACAAGTTAAAACCGGACTACAGTAAGAATTCACCAATGAACACAGCAGCCAGCGTAAGCACAAGCGTGAGCATGAGATCCATAATCGACAATACAACGCCACCTAATCTGAGCACAACCACGCCCACTTTGGCACAATCACTAGCACCAACCGCATTGAGTGTGTGGGAAGCTACAACACCCATGCCAACTGTGGCCAAACAACCTGAGCATCAGCACTTTATGGACCTCAGCGTATTTGGTGTTGAAACGAATCAAGAAATGCCAATAAATGCGCCGACGTTAGAAAGACCATTCGGGGAGGGAGACGAAATGCACAACCAACACATGTTGCTAAATGGATTTGGTGAAACTGCGACGAGTGCAGAGTTAGTGCGTGAAATAGCGCCAGTGTTAAATAACACGCTGGACACACCAGTATCCCTGTACCCAAACATACAGCAACAAGTGCTAAATGTAATGACCGATAATGTTGTAGCGCTGCCACACACCAGCACACAAGAGGTGAGCAGCAACAACCCTGTGGCTAATGATGATATCGAAGAACTTTTCCCTCTGCCGGAACCGGAAGCACTTGTTGCGTCACGCTCGTTGTCATCACGTTCGACGCTAACGAAATCGAATAAGCATACAAAATCATCTGCACCTAAAGCAACTACAACAGCAACAACCGAAAGTAATCGTGCCGTACCGTGCACCTGCGGCATTTTCCTAGCATCACAAATCAAACGCGGCACCAATCAACAGCCCGAGGGCGAACCAGTGATAATCAATGAATTAGATCGCACATTCCAATGTAATTCTGTCGGCCAGAAACAGTGTCAGACGAAATGTTTGGAAACTGTAAGTATACAGAGCACATTTTATTACATATACATATTTATCAGACTCCTACTAACCACTGCTACTCCAACAGATAGTGCAGCATTTGCCCAATTCAGCTAATATACTATGCGCGACCCTGAATCGTGATTGCCGCAAGGAGCGCGCCTACCTTTTCATCAAGAACTGTCGTCATCAATGGTTTAATACGAATTTAGCGGCCGGCAGAGAATACTGCTGCCGCAATGGGCAGCCATACACCTGTCCACTTGTTTGAAATGAAATCTTTAATGTTGTTGAATAAAACTAAATTTGAAATTCAGTAATTTACAATTGATTTTAATTACGTAAAAAAAATGAATAATCAGTGATTGAGCCAACAAGCGCTCTGCTATGACTACGATATAAGATACATAGCTATAGTTGTATGGGTCTACCAACTATAATTAGAATATATACAAATTTTTTATTTTTTTTTTTCTTTTTTTTTTACCTAAAGACGATAACGAAGCAAATATGCTGATGAAACAATTTTATCAATGTTCAAGAATTATGCATATTTAACAAATGCAATGAAGAGCGATGGTTTGTGGGGATGTGTTTGTGTGTGTGAAATGGTTGTGAGCGTTCATACACCTACTGTTGTATTTTGCAAAAAAAAAAATAATAATAATTATAGTAATAACTGTATTGTACTAATTAAAAGATAATTTTAAATTTTTGCCAAAAACTTAACTTTAACTAAGAGATTTAATATATATTGTATATAAATGTTTATAACTAGATTTTCTTTATCTATGGGATTTTAATCGCTTAATATAATTATTGTTGTTGTTGCTTTAAAAAGGCAAGAGCAAATGCACATTTTAGGCGTGTAAAGGAAACACACGCAGCAATCAATACCATTTAAACTCATGTTAAATAATTTCTTAAGCCACAAACATACATATACATACAAACAAAATTAGGAAATAATTTTATAATTCATTTTTTTTACTACTAAATGCGGTTTTCTTGCATAAAATGCACACATGAAAGATATCTTCTGATGAAAGGAATGACTTAAAAGGTAATTAACGATAATTAAATTACTTTCTTCTACAGGCGCCGAAAATATGCACTTGCTCTTAATGCGCAAAATTTAGTCTTATACACTTCTTTTTTTTTTGAAACGCATGTTTCACTGGAAGAATTTCTTCTTTGTGGAAGGTAAATCGTAGGATATTGTCGATAATCTGTAATCAAAAATAGAGATTGATAAAGAAAATATTTGTTAGCGACGCTTATATAGCAAAAATTATGCAAACTAAAAACTCTTTTCCATATGCAAATGCATGCGTAGTGTTTTGGATGTATGATGAAACTTCCACAAAAATGAAGAAATGTTAAAAAAAAAAATATATATATATAATATGTAAACAAAAGGATAAATGGAAAACTTGTATGAAAATTATCATGAACAATTTATTACATAATTTGTCCACGGGGTTGTAACACAATATCATAGTCTCTCGGTTTCGATGATTTTCGATGTGAATATTTGCTTGAATTGGCAACTGTTGTATGCCAATTTTTACAGAGTTTTGAACCGAAACCTGCTATCTGAACAAATCGATTTATGCGGGAGCTATTTCATATAATAATTTGTTGTTGTTGTTGTTGTTGTTAATGTGATGGCAAAAGTATTCCCCAAAATAACTATATTTTTTAACTATTGGATTTTAGTCGCTCTTAGCATAGGCATGTCTTACCGCGGGTAAATTCTTGAACCCCTAACCAGCAGGGGAATCCTAAAATCGATCGATCCGACCGATTCCAAAAAAAATTATCAATATATTAGAAATATACACCCCCCAAACACGTTTAATTCAAATATCGGAAAAATTGAGTTACTCGTTTTTGTTCAAACGGACGGACGAATGGACAGAAACGTCCAAATCCACTCAGCTCGTAATTGTATGGGCCTATCTCTTCTCTGGACCAAACTTGACATACTATCTAAAGTCAATATATTATTGTCAAAAACTATAATTTTTCTCCTCTCTTTTCAATGATTTTATTTACTTATACAAGCAAGAAACCATAGCAGCGCTGAGATGACAGTAAAAGGACGTAATAGTTATTCACGGCTTGATTACACCAATAAAATGACTGTAGAATTTCAGGCAGTTTTTCGGAGCAAATAATAATACTAATTTCAGCCAGTTCAGTTCAACTGAAAATTTATGATAAAACATGTTGTTGTTGTTGTTGTTGTTGTAATCGCAAAAATATTTCCCAAAGAACTTTTTGGGGAATGTTGCGGAAGTGACAGCCCTGAGCCGGATAAAAATCCGTGTCCGTCCAGATTAAAGACCCGACTGCCGGGGGAACTATTGGATTTTAGCCGCCTCTTACGACAAGCAAGCTTTACTGCGGGTAAATTCTGGAACCCCTAACCCGCAGGGGTTTTTATATGATAAAACATCACGGGCGTTTTGCTGATGAACAAAAAAAAAACAGGCACAAATACAGCAAATAAAGAAATTAAAAAACACAAATAAATGAGAAATGAACAAATAAAATATGATTTCACAAAATAAATAATAAATGTTATAATGGCTGATAAAAGCCCGTTACGTGTTTTACAAGCTTTAAAACGAAAAGCAAGTACATCACATTTCAATTACCTGACCATTTTCGGTGTAAGATACGTGGGGTTGGGCTTCACAAACGTTGATTCGGCATCTTTGCTTACGTCATTGCTGCCAGACACAGACAGAGACACATTCACCTTCGGTGGTGTTCCCTCTGATGACTGTTGTTCAGTGACCAACTGCGAAATATTGTCATTACCATCACTAGCAACCGTCTGTTTATTCTCTATATTCTCTCCATTCTCTTCATCATCATTGTCTGTCGCGTTTTTACCATTTTTACAAGCATCACCACAATGACATCTTTCAGAACATTTTTCACCAAATGAATAGCAACCACAACGTTTATTAATACAATCCTTACGGCACTTGCAACCCGTAAACTTTCGTTTAACTAATTTATGCTTGGTATCGGGATTGCTTGTAGCAGTAGTGAATGTATCGTTGTCGGTGCTTGCATTCCTGCTATTTGTTAATCGCTATATTTTTATTACGAGAAATATTAATGCAAATTATATACACATGAATGAAAGGGAGCTTACATTTGAGCGGGTTTTACGCCGGTATCCTGGCGTTTTCTTCCAGTCTGGATCATCTGAATCATCAAAGTCGGCCTCACTCGAAAGCGATATGGCATCATCATCATCGTCATCATCAAGATCAATGGTTTCTTGTTTCTTTACCTGCTGCAAACAACAACGATACTCATACTCATCTAGTTTGTGTGCGTCAACCCCCTGTGCAGCCATTTGCTCACCTTCTTGAAAACCTCTTTTTTGCGTGTACCCTTCGCTTGCACCGCTTGCTGTAATTCGTTTACCAAATTCTTGTAATATTCCAATTCCTCACGAATTGTGTCCATTTTGTTCAATTGTTCCTCCTGTATTTTCAAACGTTCCTCTTGTTCGGGTGTAAGTGCTTCTCCGCTACCCACCGCCAGTTGTGGTGCATTATGCAGCTCTCTTAAAAGCACCGCTATCTTCTCTTCATAGGTATTCTCTCGCTCGGCTATGGCCTCCTCGTGTTCTAATTCCATTAGACGCATACGTTTCGCTGCCACAGAGCTCGTCTGCTCAGCCGCCTCACGCAACGCAATCTGCTCGTCTAAAGCAATCTTCTGTTCTTGGATACGTACAGCGTGTTCACGGCGCATATCGGATATAGATTTTAGTACTTTGCGTAGTACAGCTCGTGCTTCTGGCACACTTTGTATACCGTCGTACAGTGCACGCATGCGTGATTCCAAATCTATGGAGCAAACTTTTTGCTGCAAATCGGTAATCTGAGCATTGCGCATTTCAAGATCTTCTTGGAGTGTATCCAATTCTTGAGCTGCTCCACTTCCCGTTTCCGGTTGCTGCTTTTGTAGTTCCGCAATTCGGGTGGTAATAATCACACGATCTTCCATTAGCTGTTCCAGCGAATGTTCTGCATCGATTAACGTTACTATTACCTCCAATTCACGTTCAACCCAAGATACGACCTGATCGACTTTATTGGTAGTCGAATTTATGTCTTTGGCCGACTGTGTCTTCTGGCGTTGCGACTGTGCGACTCGCTGCCTATCTAGTGCATCTTTTAGACTGGAAATAAAATAAAATAAAAAACAGTTTATTCACAAAGTTACAACCAATAGAAAGCTGTATAACAATTACCGTTTGTTGATGGCCAATGCTTCTTCACACTTCCGTTTCAAGACATTGCGTTGTTTAGTGTGCAACGCTTCCTTACGAGCCATTTCATTTTTAAGTTTCCGGTCTTTGTTTCGCAGCTGAATAAGCTCTTTCTCACGGGACATTTTCCATTGTCGGAAGTTTTCGGATTCTTGGCGCATGGCGCGTATGAGTTTAACCTTCGATTCTTTCATTGCTTGAATTTCCGTATTTAGATTTTGAATTTTTTGAGTTTCTTTTTCTCGAACTTTCAATAGTTTGGCTTGTTGTGTATTCTTTCGCTTCATTTCACCAATTTCATGTTCTAGTGTTTGTAGGCGTTTGCGACGTTCCTCTGCCAATTTAGCAGATGCATTTTCTTTGACATGACGCAATTTATCAAGTAATTGGTTTCTTTCATCTTCAAGTTCTTGAATTTTTTTCTCACATTCCTTAAACTTTTCCTCAGTATTATCCTCCAGCGTACAAAATTTAACCAAATTTCCAGCAACACGATGATGCAGCTCTTCTTTCAAGTTCAATTCACGATTAATGCGCCGCAGTTGTTCTTTATAATCCATTTGTATAGTAGTGTACGCATCTGTTTGCTCCTGCATTTGCGAATGTACATCCATCAAAGCGCTCCTGGCATCGTCATCATCATCACCGCCATCGCTTCCATTGAGAGTGGCACGTTTGTGATTTTCTATTTCCGTTTGAGTACGTTCCATTTCTACATCAAGTCCATCCACTAATTGATTCATTTGTTTTATGCGCTCGCCGGTGGCTTCCTGCTCTTCTAGCGATGCATTTACTTTATAGTTCTTTCCCAATTCGTTCGCTATTAATTTAAGCTCGACCATTTTTGACTTTAGTTTCTCATGCGCTTCTTCGGTTATGTGAGCACGCATTTCATGTTCCGCCACGTCATGTAAAGTTGCTTGGAATTGTTGTTGTAAAGTGTGATATTTCTCTTGAAGTAGCTGATATTTTTTAGCCATTTCACCATTAGTATTAATTATTGTTGTGGCGGGCCCAGATGGAGGCGGAATACCCTGTAGTGCACTATTGAGGGAACTACTCATTTGAGCGGTACCACCGCCTGCAGCCAAAAGTTCGACGCGTAGCTTTTGGATGATGCTTTTAAGGTGATTGACCTCAGCAGCATGTGGATCTTGATTGACGACTGGTTTATTTTTAATCTTCCTTGCGCGATCTGCATAGCGTAGGGTACCTAAAGTCTCAGCGACATTGTAATCGGCCGGACTTACGCAGGCTATCATAAGTGTGATCGAATTGCCGCCGAGGGAGTCTTGCAACAAACGAGTCAGTTTGGAATCGCGGTAGCGTACAAAACCGGAACCCTGACCAGCTAGAATCAAAAAAAATATAAAAGCATTAATAAGGCTTGTAAATATGGCTCAGTTTTTGAATATTAGGATTTCAAATTGTTAGTGCTACGAAATAACTACACAAACCATAGGGTTATTGCCATATTCAACCACTACGCGCGAAATATTTAGATTTTACTTACAACCAAGCGCAGAAATAACGTTTCCCAACGCTAGAAGACCCTGATTTATTTTTACACCTTCTTTGAAGCGGTCACCTGTGGCTTGCGTTTTCTTAGAACGTTCTGACCCAGCCAAATCCACTAAGTGGAATTTGGAAGTGGTTACTGTACTCCTAGAAATAGTAATAATTTATTTTAATAACAATATTCTTTCAGTTTAACACACCATGTGTATATAAAATATATTTGTATAACTTACAACTCATCTTTCTTTGTAGCCTCTACGGTAATAGTGAATATCGCATGCGAGCGCGATGACTGTTCATTCATTGCCGTGGCCGCAACTGCACGTCCTGTTGAACCACGTAGTAAGCATTCTGCGGTTTCTCCAGCAGAAGACACCAGCATTTCTGTTAGGCCTGGCATAACAACACCATTACGATTTTCTCGCATTTCAACTATAGCCTGCTCACGAGGCTGATCTGATAACAAATCGTATAACTGCTCCTGATACAACTCCATAAACGAGCATTTGACTACAAATTCAAATTCGCCGACCAATTTCTGTATGCGTTCGAATATATCACGCATGATGCGAGGTATAATGCCAGCATTTTCATCTAACGCTCCATTATATGCAGTCCCCATTGTATGTGTTTTGCCAGAACCAGTCTGGCCATAGGCAAGTATTGTAGCATTAAAACCAGAGAAGAATTTTTCCAGCAGGTCAGTGACAGTAACATCGTATATATAATCCTGTGTATCGCGCGCATCGAACACATAATTAAATGTAAAGGTGTCCGACCGATTCACAATCACTTGTGGAGAATCGCCTACGCGCTCCACAGCTTCTTGGCAACCGAGGTCACGTTCTGAAGGCACAAGTGGCCGTATACGCACCGCCACACGCACATTATCGACATCTCCCATTGCACTAATTTTATTTTTTCCCTCCATCAATTATTGATTTATAGAATTATTGCTCTAATTGGCTTTAAGCTTAGGCACTACTTCAGTCAGAGTCTCAACAGTTTTTACATATAATTAACTTTTTTTTTTAACAAAAAAACTTAGTAAGCCACAATAATAACAGTATTTAAAAATAAATTACGGAATTTAAATAAAAAATTAGTAAAGAAAATTGCAAGAACTTCCTCCAAATACAACTGTGAAATTCGAAATGGCGCTGCCGTTAGCTGTTGTTCAAGCCTTCTCAGCTTTTTCCATTCAGCGGTGAATTGTAGTAGATCGTTGGAAATGAATGCTGAAAATAGGAGTTACCATTTTATAATAATTTACTAGAAAGAATTAAAAATTTTTTTAAACAAATTTTTGGTCCGTTAAAAAATTTACTTATAATTTTTAAATACATATTTTTCTAATCAGAACTGGTAGAATTTGATAATATGCTAACAGTTGGCATTCTTCAGGACAATATGAAATATGTTTTGACAAATAAAACAAATTTTTGCTCAAGCCCATGACTTCAGGATACTAATTTGGTTTAACGAAGCTCAGAAGATTCAGCATTAAATCTTGTCATAGCTCCAAAGTGTGTGTTCCTGAACATTCTTGTTTCTCAGTACATTTTCAAGAGGTTCTGTAAATTTTACCTGCGCTGAGATTAGAGTGAAATCAAAAAAATAATAAAAATAAAAATAAAAAGAATATGTGAAAACTAATGTAAAGTTGTTTTCTTTCATTTAGGGAAAACAGCCTCCAATTTGTATGTTATAATCATGAAACTTTCGAAAAGAGATTAAACCCGACACCACCTCTCCAGTTCTGGCTTGTGATGGATCTTGGCTCTTTAGCGTTGTAATCTTTCTGAAATAGTTCTAAAAATGTTTGAACATTTACTAAAATAATTTTTGAATTTTAAATGTTTGAATTTCTAATGACTTTTTATAGGACCAAATTTTGAAAGATCATATATACGTATATCAAAATTAGGTATGATTTTTTCTTTTTTTTTGGTATTACTAAAGACTTAAGACAATATTGAATTGTGAAAAGTCAGTTTAGAAACACCTACAGTGTTTATTTATTTTTCTAATCACAAACAATTGCTCTTATCTTCGTTTATGGGAAGGGAAAAGTTATTAAATAATCCACTTTTCAATAGGTGTGGTATTTTTTTTTATTTGCATGTATGAAAGGCATTATGGAGATTGATTGTTTAGGCTAATAAAGTTATGGAAATTACGTTAAAAAATGTATTCAAAAAAATAAATAAAAGTAAATGTATTCAAAGGTGCGAAATGCTATATCTTTGTAGATACAATGTGATATACAATTATTATGACACTTATGCAATTGATAGAATATTCGTAATAAAAAATATTGATACAAAAAAGTAGTAAAAATATTAAAAAAAAAAAATTGATAACATATATATAAAAAAAAAATTTCATTAAAATTTCAACTAAGTATTTAAAAATTAAGTTAAGAACTTCAACATTCACCAACCAATTATTCACCAAATATATATATATATATATATGTGTTCGAAAAGTGGACAATACTTGTCGTAACTCCATTCATGTAAGTTTAATTAGTTTACAAACTAGTTAAAAACTATGAGTCACTTACTGCAGGGTAAACGATCGCTTCCATGCAATTATATGTTCATTAAAAAATGTTGCATCTGTACAAATAACTGTCAAAAGGCAATTTTTTGGCTAAACATTCCATTAGCAGCACATAAACAATGACTGCAAACTAGTTTCGTAAAAATAAATGCAAAAAAAATTAAAAAAAAAAAATGTAAAAATTATCCAACCGGAAGCCGCATTACCCGTTTTCAAATCATAGAAAAACATGCGAATTTAATTTTATTTACTACATACATATGTCTATAGGTAAGTATATCAATTCATACGTCAATTTATGCATTCATACACACGTACGTACATATGAAAATTCTACCTAAAACACCATTATAGCATTAAAGTAGATAGTTTATTGTTATCTTTGTACGTATGCAGTTCTATTATTTGCCAAACCTGTTCGCCTTCTACGCTTGTATTACGTGAAATAGATTAACAGAGCGTTTATAACAAATTTACTTATGTAGGTCTAGTGTTTGTTTGCAAATAGAAAACATATGATGATTTTAGCATGAGACAAATCTTTGATATTGAAAAAAAAAATGCAACAACAATTTATGAAACACGTTTTGTCTACCGGAAATATATTTATAAATAATATAGCACTTATATATGTATGTATAAATATATAATATATGCGATGTATATGATTTATGACAATGTGTGCAAAAATTCTTTTTTTTTTTTAAATTTTTACAAAATTTTACTCACAATCAAATTTAATTTTACTCTTTTCAATCGCAACATGCTAAATAACACATTTTAATTGGTTTTAGCTTTTATTAAATTTCCGTTTGGCTCCCATATGTTCACTTAGCTTATCGCCGATACGATCACTCTAGCCGTTACCGCACAAAGTGTATTAATGGAATAAATTATTATCTTCTTTTTTTTTTGGTAAATCTGTATGGCTTTGCGCGATTCCAGCTGTAAATTGATGATAACAAAAGTACGATATTGCCATATCGCGAAGTTTTCAAAAAATTGAATAAAGAAAAAAGTGAAATTTTATAAGATTTTTTCGTAAAGTTTTTTGGAACATACCAACGTAATACCAATTATTCATAAAAAATAATAATAATTATAAAATTAAACAAACGAAACTATTAAGTCTTTTGAAGAATGTCCACTATTCAGCGGGCGTCACTTGTCTTGATTTACTTTATGCCATTACCCATACCATTTTGAAGTAAATTAACTTCTGTTAGGTTGAATTTGTTTTCAAAGTTAGTATAAACCTTTATTTCAGTTCTATATCCGCCTCGTTTTTGCTACATGAATAAAGGTTTATTTAAATCCCAAAATAAGAGACTTTTAAAGTTTATGGCACAGCAGAAAAGATTTCAAACTCAGGTAGAACAAACAGAAAAGCGTGAAGCTGAGGAGATAAATGCCAAACTCATTATAACTTTTAACAAATATCTATTTTATAATAATAAATAGCTCAGGTTCTAACCTCCGTTTCGTAGCTGTATTCTTGCTACTAAATGCTTTTATTACATATTATTATATATATTATATTAAATTTATACCTTTAAATCCGACTAATTAGTCACTCAAAGGTGGTATAAAAAACCCGTGGAACATGCCATTTTATTGGAAAAGCACCGCGTATTGCTTAAAACGCTCGACCGGAAAATGTGTGTTTGGTTATAAAGCTAAGAGTTGAAACTAAATTTTCCGATTGGAAATCGAAGTTTAACAATTTTCTTCAATTCAATTATTTCCCAAAGAATCTAATTTGAATTTTTTAATATTTAATGTTTTCCTGATGTGGCAGCCCTAATTTTCCAGTTAGAAAATCTATTACAATATAAAAGTCTACACGATATACGGTTAAATTTCGCAGCTGGCAAAAGTGAAGTCTACAAATGCGCGCAAGACGCTGTTTTTAGTTATAAAAAGGCAGAATATAGGAAACCAATAAAAATATCTGACATTTCGAGTACTTTTTGCTTATAGAAACTAAAAGAGATAGAGCTAACTGGTGGGCAGCAAATAAAAGGTAAGTTTTACTTTGTGGCTTTGCTGTATCCAGCTATGCATATAATAAACTTTTGTTTGCGTTTCGATAGGTGTTGAAATTTTACACTGCAATCCAGTGCGTAATGGAGGCCACCAATGTTTTAAAAGAATATCTGGAGTTGTTTACCGCTGATTGCAGGCAATTAAAATTAGTAGTGGCACCGAATGCTGTCGTCGATTGGTTCGGGCGCACCGTACGCGGCCCAGCAAATATTCATGATTACTTGAGGTTTTATATTGCTGAAATCAAACTGAATTTTTACGGAATTTTATTTATTTTTTTTATGTTTAGATTCGAAGTAGGGATACAGTATGAGCATGCAGATTTTGATAAAGCTGAGGAGTGTCAGCAAATAGAACAGCGCCCATCACATTGGAAAACGTAATGTTTAAGTTCAGTTTTTTTTTTTGTGATTTTCAATAAATATACTTCTTTTAGGAAATCTTTGCCAACGGGAGATGTTGATTTTGTCTTACCTCTTAATAAAGTTACAGGATTAACTTCATTAAAAACATATGCAGACAGTGACCTTGAGGATGATGATTTGGAAATGCAACCTTTGCCTTCAGGTACTCAAACACCAGAACCTCAGAGCGATGATATAGCGCATATTGGTGAATTAACACCACCATCGAGTACGATCAAAATCGAACATAAAAATTTAACTGATTCTGAAAGTGATTCAGATGACGTACAAGCGCCCAAACGACTTAAACGCTCTGTGCCAACACCATTTAGTTATTTGCGACGCATACCAACATCAAGTTCGAAAATTACTCGTGTTTTGAAGAGGCAGCCAACAGAGACTCCATTTGATATGCCCATATTAGGCGATGATACATCCAGTGATGAGGAAACAGATGCTGATTTACGTAAAAAGTTGTCTAAAGAATATACACCACTAAAATATATATCGGCGATTGGTGTATTGCGTGCTAAACCACTATTGTATTCAACTGGTGAATCGCCACCGACGTCACATCGCACGAACGACTGGGATAGACCAGCGCGTTTGCGTATATCATATCGTCGGAATTTAACTGATCAATCACTACAAATCGCTTTGGTTATTTATGAACATTTAACTAATAACAGTGCAGGTATGGGTCAAGACGCAACTGCTGCAGCGGGTTTGCGACGTCGTAATTTGATGGCAGAGTTTAATGAAACAGCAGCCTTAAGCGAAACGCCAAATCCAACGAATGAAGACGTTGTAACCGAAATAGCAGGTCCTAGAATCACTGAAAGCAGTTCAACAGTAACAACAGTGAATAATGTTGACGAAGAAAGCGCCGCCATAAGTGCAGAGCTACTGCGTACACCAACTAAAAACGATCATACGCCGCCAGCTACGCCCAAACGTAGACCAAGAGTGCCATACACGATCTCTGGCATGAAACGAATCGGCTCGACACCCACATCGTCAACACAAAAACGCAGTGCTGCTCGCACGCTCAGGCTATAGGGGAGTTGTGCGTTGCATCGTGGATATCGCGAATTATATTTATATTTAGCAGAAAAATTAGTCAATTTTTTTTTAATCTTTTGCTTTGCCAGAAAGCGGAGTTCCATTTGACTCAATTGTGTGTGAAAAGGTTGGGGCATGCTACCTTTTAAAAATCTTTGGTATTCTAAAGAAATCTAAAAAAAAAAAAAAAAAAAAAAAAAAAAAAACTTGTAATGATAAATTCAAATGAATTTTAAAATTTTAAAATATTTTTTCATATATTCTTCAAATGTATTTGCGATTTTTAAAATTACTTTTTTCTTTAGGTCTCATTGAATCGAAATCACGGCAACTCTCTAAGTCTGTAGCGGTTCCAAAAAAACTTATGGACAATCTGTCAAAATAAGGTACTAAGCGTGGGGCGGCCGATATTTCGACTACAATGACGACGAAATAATTTAGACACATTTTTTTTGTAATTGACTCATTTGGAATTCGTCTAAAATTTATTAATAATATATATCTATATATATATACTATCAAGAGTGGATTAGAACCATCAGAAATATATACTGAAATATAGAAAACGTTTAATATATTTATTTGATTGTATCTCTCTTAATTTATCATCTTTTCTTTGTTTAAAAAATGCTTTCATTTAAAGATTTATTTATTAAAATTAAAGTTTAAATAAAAAAATTATTAATATCATATTAATTTTATCAGTACTTAAAATACTAAAATTATCGTTTTCTATATTTTTTAGTAATTATTTTGTTGCGATTTCCACTCCTTATAGTACTATATATTTATTGAAACTCATTTTCTATGTTTACAATGCGATGGATGTTGTATTTTAATAATTATTTAAGGCGCTCTTTTGTTGCCCCTCCAACTATTCAATATATTCTATTATAAATATATGTATGTATATGCGGGATTGTTCCCTTTAAAGGCCGTTAACTTGTTTTTCTACACCTTTTGTTACCATTTGCGAACTTCATACATACATATGTACATACATACATATGTACATACATACATATGTACATACATACATATATTGTGGTCTCATTTATTTGCTATTAATACATATTTAAATGCTACTTTATTTTAATAATTTAAATATAAATTTTACATTTTAGCAATGTATTTCTTATGAGCATATTATGATTGTATATTAAAATGAAATAAAAAAAATAATAAATATGAGTGCGATAAAAAAATGTCCTCGAATTTTTAAAATATGATTTTGTGTCAAAGGGCAGACGTCCAAAAAGGTGTTTTCTAAATTGTAAAATTTCACTAATTCTTTTGTTGTTGTTGCGATTATTATAATTGTTGTTGTAAGCGCAAACAATATTCCTCGCATTAGTTGTCAAGCTCGATAAATGTGATGACTGGGTGGAGATTTCATTCGGTAATTGCGCCTCGCCGGATCCGTAAAGTGACGCGAGCTATTTTAACCCACCTTTCACGCTGAACCTTGCCGTTGACAAAATAAGGCGTTAACTGACCCACCGTTTGCGCTACCACCGCTATACTTGATTTCTAAAGGGAAGAAGTTCAGAGGGTCATCAAGAAGGAAATCCATCAGACTCGATGAAATAAGCATGCTAATGCTAAAACAGCTAGGACCAACGGGAGCACAGACTATCTCACCAAAGACCTGTCTCTGAACACCCTAAAAATAACCAACATGTGGAAAGCGGGTAAGGTGGCCCCGCTACTAAAACCGGGGAAACCAGTCAAAACGAGAGAGTCATTTCACTCACCATCTGCGTCCAGCAGCGCATCAGCATGGCTTCCGAAAAGTGCACAGCACCACAACAGCACTTAACGCCATAAACACCCAGATAGTCCATGGCCTCAACCAAAACCGACACTGCGCGCGAACTGTCCTAGTAGCACTGGACCTGTCAAAAGCCTTTGACACAGTAAATCACTCAGTGCTACTAACGGACATTGAGGAATCCTCATTACCGCCGGGGTTGCAGAGGTGGGTCATGGGCTACCTGAGTGGTCGACAATCATCGGTAATATTCCGAGGTAAAACATCTAAACCCAGAAAAATTAAACAGGGGGTTCCGCAGGGTGGTGTCCTCTCCCCGCTACTGTTTAATTTTTACATATCGAAACTCCCTCCACCACCAGAAGGAGTTTCCCTAACCTCGTATGCCGATGACTGTACGATAATGGCGTCCGGCCAGGATATTGATGACCTCTGCTCGAAAGTAAACGGCTACCTCGCTGATCTCTCCCACTTCTTCACTGCAAGACAACTACGAATCCAACCGACAAAATCCTCGGCTACCCTTTTCACCAGCTGGACGAAGGAGTACAGGCTTGAACTAGATGTAAAGGTCGATGACGAAAAAATTCCGACGATAAATAACCCAAAAATATTGGGAGTAACTCTGGACAGCCTGCACTCCTTCACTCCGCATACGACCGCAATTGCCGCAAAACTCCAGAGCCGCAACAAAATACTCAAAGCGCTAGCCGGCAGCACCTGGGGTAAAGATAAAGAAACTTTGCTGGCTACTTACAAAGCAATTGGCCGGCCGGTCGTAAACTATGCTGCTCCGATCTGGACGCCGGGGACGAACGGGACGCAGATGAAGAAGCTACAGGCTTGCCAAAACACCGCCCTTAGGACTGCGACAGGAAACCTCCTGATGTCGCCGGAGCATCACTTGCACAGGGAAGCATCTATGCTACGAGTTAAGGAGCATAATGCTTTGCTGTGCAAGCAGTTCCTACTGGGATGCTACCGCAGGGAGCACCCCAGTAGGCACTTAATAGAAGCTGAACCTCCACCTAGGCACATCAGGAAGGGAGTACTAGACCTCAAAGACACGATCCAGCAACACACACAACAACCGCTGGACAGGACGGCGTATCGACAGGCACTGAACGCCATTCACCAGGAGTCAGTTAACACCTTCATGAACTCCCTTCCAGTGAATGGCGTACTCGGAGAAATACCACCACCCATAGCAGACAACGAGCTCGAGCTGCCTCGAGAGACCCGCGTGACCCTGACACAACTTAGGTCTGGATATTGTAGTAGGTTAAACTCCTACCTATCCAGACTAGACCCCAGCATACCTAACGTATGCCCGGCATGTGGAGAGTCCCCGCACGACACTAACCACCTCTTCACATGCCCCCTCAAACCTACTCATCTAACACCCCTCTCCCTTTGGTCCAACCCCGTCGAAACAGCTCGTTTCCTGGGCCTACCTTTAGATGACCTCGACGACTAAGACTAATTCAAGCCTGTGCCTAAGCGGGGTTAGCGAATCCGCTACAACAACAACAACAACAACAACAGAGAGTCATATCGGCCGACATCTCTCCTCTCCTCAGTAGCGAAGACTCTTGAGGCCTTGCTGCTCCCCGCCTTTCACACACCATCTGCGCCCAGCTGTACATCAGCAACGTTTTCGTAAAGAGCACAAGATAGTCAATGGCCTCAACCAAAAGCGGCCATGGGAACGAACTGTCCTGGTACCACTGGATCTTCGACAATGTCAATCATTCAGTGCTACTATCAGACGAGGAGGCATCTTTATTACCAGGTGGAGCATGTGCAACCTGAGTTGTCGACAACCATCGGAAAGAGTTCTAGGTCAAACATTTAAATATTAAAGAAGGGGTTCCGCAAGGTGGTGTCCTCACTTTCCCCACTGATCTCATTTGTCGATGATTGCTCGATATTGGCGCCTGGCAAGAATATTGATGACATCTATCCGAAAGTAAACTTCTATATCGACGATCTTTTCCACCTCTTCACTTCAAGACAACTAAGACTACAACAAGCAAAATGCTCAGCTACTCTCTTCGCCAACAGGACGTAGGAATGTAGATTCGAACTCGATGTGAAAGTCGATGGCGTAAAAATTCCGACTATAAACAATCCGAAGTTATTGAGAATCACATTCGACAGCTCGCATTTCTTCACTCCGCATACGACTACACCGACCGCATACGACCACCGCTGGACAGGATGGCTTACGGTTGTTATAGGTGATACTAAATAGTACTAGGTCATTCAAGATAAGTATGCTCTTGCTGTACAGGACGGCTTATGGGCAGGACCCCTTGCGGGTTAGGGGTTCAGGAATTTACCCACAGTAAGGCATGCAAGCCGTAAGATGCGACTAAGATCCAATACACAATTCAATTACCACAAAAGTCGGGTCTTTTTTTTCTGGAACGTTTCGAACTTTTATCCGGCCAAGGACTTTCCCAAAAAATAGTTTAGGGAGTACTTTTGCGGTTACAACAACAACAACAGCAACGTCATACCACTAGGCATTAAACGCCATTCGCCGAGAGTTGAGAAGGATGTTGACGGACGCTCAGTGCATGGCATTCTCGGAGTCAAACCATCACCTATTGCAGACAAAGATATCGAGTTGCCTTGAGAGTTCCACGTAATATTGGCGCAACTAAGAACTGGATATTGTCGTAGACTATATTTGCTAGTCATAGAATTGTACTTTTCCACACTTGACCCACCCCGAGATACAATAAGTCAGCCCACGCCACTATCCGCCTACCCCGTACCAACTCATCATTTGAATAGGTACTAAATATGGCTGACTGATCTGTGAAAATATCTGCCAAATATCTAATGCTCGATTCCACCATAACCTACTCTTCATTACTTGTTTAGATTGGAGTCTTTTATCTCTTCAATCTAACAGAGTGCTCCTCGGGCACCACTTATGACGGGCGCGGGTTATAGCAGAGGTTCGGTTGGTAGAGGAGTAAATTTTACTCGCCACCAATACTTAAATAGAAACGAGAATTTCATATTTATTTGGTGATTTCGACATTTATGAAGAAGAAGCATGATTTGAAACTCAAAAACTACACTTTTTACATATTTCTTATAAAGTTATTGTTATTTATTAAATATAGTTTGTAAGTTTGTTGCTGTTTTTAATATATGTATGTATGTGTTTGAAAAGTACAAGCCGTTTGAGTAAATCTTTAATACATTTCTCTTCGTACATTTTAATTTTTATTGCATTATTTTTTTTTTTTATAAATTTTGTGATGCATTTTCCCCCTCCCCCAACCCCAAGAGAAGGAGGAGTAAATTACTTTTTGTGACGGTGCAAAATATGTCAATAAAAATACATAATATAATTTATGGCTACACATAACAAATGTAAGTAGGTGGTATAAATATGCATACAATAAACACACATACATATATATATATACATATATATGTATATATGCATAATTAAGTAAATATTAAAAATTTTCAATTAACAAATACTGAAATTCATATTAAATATATTTAATTTTCTACACTAAAACATGCATTAAATTCATTTAACTCCGGCGCTCTGCCATTCGGCTCCTGTATGTATTAGCGCATTTTTATTCGCCGCTCAGAGAGAGTAACGTGTACTGTCATCCGGTTTCACCTCAACAGGTATGGCCTTGACTATGAAACGTCGACGATCGAGCAGCGATGGCGAGGAGTTAGAATTTTTGGAACTTTTAGTGTTGGTGCTGCCATCGTCAGTGATCTACATACATGTAAGAGGAGTTGGGTTGGAAATGAAAATAAACCAGTTATACATGAAAAATTAATTTGTAATAGAGTGATTATATAAAAAATAAATAAATATTTAAAAAAAAAATTATTAAAAATAAGCATAAAGCGTAATTTGGAAAAATAGGCGTGTTAGCGTCAATTCTAATGATTATAACGAATTACCGTTATTAGCGTTATTAGTAAGCTGTTTGATTGCCAATTGCGTTGTGTGCGTTAGTATGCTGGTATACAGATGTACAAACACATGCAAGTATGTATGTATGTATGTACATTATAGGAAATATTAATATACTATAAATTAAACAAAAAGAGGTTTTTCTAGGGAGGTAAGGTTAATGTGGCATTAAATAAAAAAAAATTAAAGAAATAGGGTGCAAGACAGAAGAAGCACAAAAACCATACAAAATTATACTCACTTAAGTTAACGTACGTGTATGTATGTATACTATGTAAATGCTTTTGTTACACTAAAACAAAACTCATTTCGTAATTGTCTTATTAAAAAGTAGTTAAATAAAATATCCATTTACAATGTGAATCACAAGTGCTAATTAAGTCCGTTTCTATACAACTGTATGTACATATGTATATTAAGTGTCAAACGCACATATGTATGTATTTATACATAAAAGTGCATTTTATATATATTTTTCTGTATGTTATTTATGTACACTTGCACTAAGTGCAAACTCATTTATGCATTTCCTTTGATTGTTTTTGTTTTTCTTTACAAAAACAGTGTGCAATTTTTTAGTAATTTTTTTTAAATTAATTAAATTGTAGTTATTTTGTATTTTTTTTTTTGGTTCGATTTGCTATTGCATAGAATTTACAGCACGTATTGAATCTGGTTTATCTAAAACGAAATTGAGAAAAACATAAACAAAAAGTAATAAAATAAAAATTTTAAAATTTTATTAAAAATAAAAATATTAAAAATTTTTTAATTCGAAAAATGTTATTTATATTTAAAATATAATATAAAAAATAAAATAATATAAAAAAAAAATATTTTTTTTGTTAATTTTTAATTTAAGCTGATAAAGCTTTTGATCAAAATTTTAATGGAATGCAATGAAATTATTATTAATAAATATTAAATATATGTGTAAATTTGTGAAAAGCATGAATTGAAGAGCATTTTGTTGCGCTAATTATTTCCTTTAATTTTGAGGTTAAGTGCAAAAAAAAAATTAATTATAAATATTTATATAAATATTATTTAGCTTTTGTGATTGCTTATTAAAGAAAAAGTGTTTTTTTAAATTAATTATAAAAATTAATTGCATTTCTATTGAATGCGTACATATGTATGTTTTTATTTGTAAGTTAAACGAATCACGTTTACATATATGAATTGATAATTGACAAAAATATATACTCTACCCAGCTGATTTGGCAAAAAGGCTGAGCTGGTGTAAAGGAGTATATGTATGTATGTAAAGAGTCTTCCGATAAGAGGTGTTATTTTGAATAGCTTACAATTTCGGTAGATGCCACATTTGAAGCTGTAATTTTTTGACATTTAACAAGATGAAGCTATGCCAGTAATAAAAATGGGAACGACCAAATGTGTTAAATCTCACCTCACGAGATATTATCCGGAAAATTTCCCTGGAAATAAAGCCATATTCTGTTGTGTTGTGTGGCATGTGGCAGCAACTTTTTGAAACCACTTATTGCTTCGCAATGGAGGTGACAGTATCGTCATTGTCATTTTCAAAAAAAGTATCGTCCAATTACACCTCCGAACCGAAGAGCACACCAGGCAGTTAGTTTGTATGGTTGCCATGGCTTCTCTTCAATTATTTGAGCATTCTCGAAGCCTCAATTGCGACACTTTTGCTTATTTGCGTAACCGCCGAGTGAGAAGTGTATCTCGTTGATAAAGAAAATGTTGCTCGAAAAATCTCCGTTGTACAATCTCGCTTGTTTAAGCTGGGCTTTATATGAATGTATTAGGTATATAACTTTGCTTCCGCCGTTTTCCGATAGGTGGCTGTACCGGCTGAGGCTGGTTGAAATACATAGATGATAATGCCTTTAAAGTGAGTATGGAAGGTGCCTAACGAACTGTCATCGCCGTTTCAGTGACAGTTGTTTTTGTTTTCGTATTATTCACGCTCGAAAATGTCCGTTTATGTACCTAATTCTCGCCATTTGCGGGAAGCTGAAGCGCATCGAATGCTCTCAGAAAATTACGGCCATGCTGCTCTGAGTGAAAGAACGTGCCAGGAGTGGTTTCAACGTTTTAAAAATGGTGATTTCGATTTCGAAGATAAACATGGTGGTGGAAGAGAAAAAAACTTCAAAGATTTACTACGAGCTCTTAAAACCCAGTAAAACCATTAGGAGATCGCTACCGATCGCAACTGATGCGCCTTAGGCGCGCGCTAAAAGAAAAGCGGCCACAATATCAAGAGCGACATGATAAAGTCATCCTCCAACACGATAATGCTCGGCCTCACGTCGCAAAAGTGGTCAAAAAGTACCTGGAAACGCTGAAATGGGAAGTCTTGCCCCACCCACCCGTCAAAAGAGGGCTCCTTTTTTCGAGCCCGGATCCGAAAATTCCCGGAAAGATGGGAGAAAGTTGTCGCTAGCGAAGGACAATACTTTGAATAATATATCTGTAAGCACTTTTTCGCAATAAAGCTTTTAATTTTAGAAAAAAACGGCGGAAGCAAAGTTGTACACCTGATAGATGTAAGAAAGTCCCTGCCCTCGATAAGTAAACATATTCGGGTCATCGGTTCACAATTTTTGAAGCATTTTTTTGGTTCCACAGCTAAGTTTTACTGGTGTCGAAATAGAGCCCGCGAAATGGATAACCCTATATAACAAAAGTGGTCATCTCGTCAAAATAATTTTTTTTCCTTAACAATATGTTGGAGGCTTCACCACTTCAAGACCATATCTTTAACTTTTTAGGCAAATCATAAAAAAGGGGAATACAAATTTTAAAAATTATTTATTAATTTTTCTAATTTTTCTTTGCAAATTGTAAAAGTTTTTACATATTTTTTTAGACTTAAAATTTTATTATTATTAAAAATAACAAAATAATAATGATAAATGAATTCTAAAGTAATATTAGTGTACATTATTTAACCAGTTTCCATTATAACTGTTAAAAAGGTTAAATATACTCGTACCATCACCTTGACTATTGTTGCAGTGAAACTTACAAGAACTTATTTATGTACATCCAAACCCATATTATTAAAGCTACATATTTTTCGATTTTATTTTTAAAGCAAAATATTGAATATTAAACTGAAACTCATTTCATGAAAATAAAAAACACAAAAATGAAAGTGAAAATGAGCGCAAATCATAACCGAGACAGGAGAAGTTTAAAAACAAGTTCCATATTTCGCTTTCATTCCTTGAACTAGATATATTGCATAGAACAAAAGTTTTTTGATTTTTGTCCAGAAACTGATGATAACTCAGCCACTATTGAATTGTAAACAATAAAATATGTTTTTTTTTTTCATTTAAAATATCGGTTGGATTTGAAATGACCAGTAAAATGGATACTTAAGCTGCCCATAAACCGCTGAATGATTATGATAACTTCCGTGTTTATACAATATTTAGGTAATGACAACGGCATCTTAAAGTTTATACCCAATGTACCATTTATATTTAAATATATTATTATATATATATATATATATATATATTAAGTCTACTTTTTACTTGGTTTAGTATTTAAAACCATAAGTCAAGGGGATTGTCGATAAAAATTTTGGCTGATCATAATTTAAGCTTTGGATAAGATATTTGAAATTTCTTTTCCCAAAATGATTAATTAAAATTTTGTATTGTGTTTACTCACATCAACACAAGAACATTGGCTCTCGTCAAATACTGTGCCTGTCGTACATGATTGACTGTCGCGACAAACACATCGGCACGCTGCTTCATCCCAATATTTGTGCTCTTGCTGCATTTAGGGGAAAAAATTAAGGAAATTAAATTACAACTATAAAGTAATAAAATATATAGACTATTATTATTTTATTATTTTTATTGCATTTGATTTTATTTTATTTTAACTATTTTAATGAATTTAATTTTTTTAGTTCTCTTTTTACTTTGATTTATTTTATATTATATATAATATGATATAATTAAATTAATTATTTGTAGTGATAATTTGATTTGACTTATTTTATTTTTATTCACTTCATTTCATTTTTATTTAATTTATATTATCCTATTTTTTGTTTTATCTCTATTTTTATTTTAGTTTAGTTTATTTATTTTATTTTATTTTATTTTATTTTGTTTTATTTTAATTTTTTTATTCTATTTCATTTCATCTTATTTTATCTAATTTCATTGATTTTAATTTTAGTTCTCTTTTTTTCTATTTTGTTTTATATAACTTTTACTAATTATTTAGCGGACGCGGTAGCCGAGTGGTTACCATTGCGTACTGACATTCAGAGGGCTCGAGTTCATATCCCGCTGCCACCAACATCCAAAATAAAAGGTTATTGAAAATGAATTTAAATAAAACATTAACTTAAATTTTCCAATTGCGGTCGCCCCTCGGCAGGGAATGTCCCCCGCGTGTATTTCAGACATGAAATAAAGGCTTCTCGTAAAAGACCCATGAGCAGTTCAGAGTAGGCTTAGTATAAACTCTAGGTCCCTTCATTTGTAGGAAAAACCATGAGACGCAAAACCACAAATTGGAGGAGAAGCTCGGCCGAAAATCGCTTCAGCAGTTGCAAAGCGCCAATTATATATATGAAAATGAAATACAATAAAATCAAATGAAATAAATCAAATTAAAATTAAATTAATTTAAATTATATAATTATATATAATTTATTATTATATATGATTTGATTAAATTTCATTTAAATTAATGTGATTTAATTAAATTTTATTTGGTATTTTCTTATTTTAAAATTTCAAATTTTATTTTAGGTTACCTCATTTAATAAAAATTTAATTTTATTAACTTTCATAATTTTATTTAATTTTTGTAATCGAATTCAGTTTAATTATATTTAATGCTAATTTGGTTTAATATATTTTATTTTAGTTTTATTTAATTTATATCACCTTATTTTATGTTACATTAATCTTTATTTTTTATTTTATATTATTTAATTTAATTTTATTTTATTTGATTTTCCTTGAAAGTATTTTATTTCATTTCAGTTTATTTTACTTTTCGTTATTTAGTTTTTTTCTAATCCTATTTAATATTTTTATTTTATTTTATTGTGGCTTACTTTATTTTGTTTTAAATTAGTTTATTTATTTTATTACATTTCATATTTTATTTCATTTTATTTATTTCATTTTCTTTTATTTTATTTTATTGTATTTATTTTATTTTATGTTATCTAATTTTTCTCTAATTTTATGTAATTTTAAATTTTTTGTATTATTTACTCTCTCTATATTTCTTTTTGTTTTTATTTCGTTTTATAGTTGTATTCAATTTTATTTCAATTTAATACAGATTATCTTAATTAAAATACTTTATTTTCTTTAATTTTCTTTTATTTTATTATGGTTCATTTTACATAAATTTTTATTAATTAAATTTTACCTTGTCAATATTTTTTATTTATTTCATTTTAATACATTTTATTTAATTTTAATTATCTATATCGTATAATTTTTTTGTTGCTTTGAGTTTTATATTACTAATATTAATATAATTAATATTACAAATCTATAAAAATTTATTTCATTTTCCTTTATATATTTTATTGTAATTTAATTTAACTTTTTTATTTATTTTATTTTAAGAAATTCCTTGCTACATACCGATAAACATTTCTGTAACGCATCCTCGTTGGTGCATTCGCAATTGCACTTCTCAGGACGATATATTTGATAGGAATTGCAATCCTGAAAAACAGTTTAAGTAAGTATGTAAGTAGATATTTATTATTAGACAACTTAAACAACAAAAAGCGCATGCAAAGCATATTCGCGCGGCAAACTAACTACAAAAGCAACGCAGAATCGACAAAAAGCGACCTTACCCGTCTACCTACCTTCGCCTTAATGCGACAGTCACATTTGCATTTTGTGTGTTGCTCCACCACGACGATCTCTCTGCCGCCAAATGCCCTCTCACCCAATTTGTATTTGGTGACCTGAAATTCAATGAAACTGCGTAGGTTTTCAAAGCATTTTTTTTAACCCGAAATCACTTCAAAAGGAACACACACCTCAAAGTTTATTGTCTCCGTCTCGGTGGGCTGACACGACATCAATTGTGAGCCGCAACAGCCGCCACAGCGTTTCACACGCGTACATTTCGGAAAGTAGACAACATTGGGATCAAGTGAGGGATTGAGTGGTGTTAGAGGCACCACGGTGTTCTCTGGCATGCACGCGGCTGGCACAGCTCTTTGCACATTGGCTGGTTGGTGGAGAAAAAAAAAATATTTCATATAATTCTATAACTGACATAAAACAAAATATACTGGCTTACCACGCTCAACACTGCGTCTGAAGGTGTCTGAAAGGGAGCAGAAAAGAGCGAAAATTCTTATTAAGTGTTAATTAATAAAAAATAAAAAATCTGTATGAGTTGGCACGAAGGCTTAAAAATAGACTTTTGATTTCATTATCTGTTGCACATATTTTACGCTTGACTGAATGATAACATTGCCATTGTCAACGTGCTTTGATTGCTTAATTAATTAGTGCTCTTGGGCGCGTCACCCACATTTCTGATGTGGTTTGCAATTTGTAATTCTCGCTGAATGTTGGGAATTTTTGTTGAGTAGCGTAAAATTATTTAAATGATTTCGTCATGGATTTCATTGGTGGGTAATTTTTGCCTTATTCTTACCTTGTAAGCCCAGCTTGGGGTCTATTGTATCCTTGTCTACGAAGCGTTCTATGAATTCTGATATATCTGTTACATTGTCCATCTCTTTGTAGAAGTTAATAAGATTCTGGAAGGAAAAAAATAATTTTTCTTTATTTAGCTGAACAATTAAATTTATTTTATAATAAAGAAAATACTTGAGTATACATATATGTATATACATAATATATACATACAAATCTGAAATATAATAAACACTCCCAATAAAACACCAAATCCGATGGGATGGCCATAAGGTTTCCGGTTAAACATATAATTGGCGCTTTGTACACAGTTTTAAAGAAGGGGGGTTGACATTCCCCGCCGAGGGGCGACTGCAATTAAAAAATTTAAATTTATTTTTTATTTTAAATAAATTTTCCATAGCTTTTTTGGAGGTTAGGGCGACACCAGGATTTGAACTCGAGCATTCCGAATGGCTCAAGAAGTGTTTCATTAGATAATATTCTTAGAAGTAAGCAGACTATGGATATGGTGGCTACAGGGAAGTAGCTGCATGTCTACTAGAATCCAGGGAACGTAACAATTCATGAGATTGCCAAAAGTGCCATTCGTATGGGGGCCAAACGCTAATGCAATGAAATTCTCGAGACAGCTAACTGGAATGACTTAAGGAAAATTCCGAAGTGACTGCTCACAACCAAATGTTATCACATACGAACAAAATCGGCGTGGTGGCACATATAGTTATTTGCGGTCATAGTCAATTGACTTCTGTAAGCAGCATTTCTCGAAGAATTTTTGCGCATTTCCCTCATCTAAAGCTCTTCCTGCTCACCCATTATGGATACATTCTTCGTACGGTGTTTTTATCTAACGAATGATATGCCTCAGTTAATTTCTAAGTTATTATAATAGTTCTTACATAACAGAGAGGGATCACTCTTCTTCATACAATATATAGGGTTATCTATTTCGTGCTTTCAAAAATACAGTTCTGCATTTTGATATGTGATAAATTTAACTGTCAAACTAAACATGTTTTGTTTTAGTTAGAAGTCGGACATTAATGAAAATGGTTCCCTTAACAATCGCACAATACGTTAATATTGTTAAAATCTACTACAAAAATTGAGATTTAACGTGGCCACGTTTCGAGCTATAAGAGAAGATTACGGTCCAAATACTTAAGCGATAAATTTCAAAAAAATTTGAAGATACTATAGATATTGCAAGCTCTGTGTAGCCTGGTTTTTTTCGTTCCATCTCAAATATCGCTACTGTAAGTGAAGTGAAGTGTCATAGACGCGGCGGTCTCAAGAGCTGGAACTTTCACATACATAAAAATCCAGCTCACACAACAACTGAAATTGAGACTCTGAGAATCTTAAAAAAACTCACTGTGTGGGGCTGTGATTTTACCTTACTTCCTTGAAAACGACAATGGCGAACCAGTCGCTGTCAATTCGGAGCGTTATGGTTGTATGATATTCGACATTGTTTGGCCTAAAATTAATGCATACGGCTTGGGGCTTCAACAAGATGGTGTCACATGCCTTTTGCAATGTCATGTGGCCACCGAGATTAGTCGACTTGACTTGACGTTGGAGTTTTTATTGGGTCTACGCAAATTCCGCATCTAAGCGGTTAAACATTGGTCAAGTTATGGCTGAGATGCCGCCCAAAATGTGTCAAGAAGTGGTCGAAAATTACCTCAAGAGGCTCAAAGTTTACGAAAATTTCCGAACATAGAAGTAGTGTTTCAAGTATTTATAACGCCAGGGCTCAAACTTCATAGTCAATAGGGAATTTCATGAAAATAATTATTTTAAATAGATTTTATTTATGGTTATTTTCAAAACCGAAAAATGTATAACCCTGTATATATATATGTGTAATAAATACATATATAACAATTAGCGCTTGGTAGCCGCAGAAGCTATTTTCGGCCCAGCTCCTCTTCCAATTTATGGTATGCGTGAGGGACCTACAATTTATTCTAAGCAGCCACCGAATGACTTCTTGGTATTTATCGAAGACTCGAACCCAATTCTAACCAATTGGCCACTACGGCCGCTTAATACAATAGTAGTAAGTCTTAAAATCCGATTAAAGATTGACATATTAATTATTTTTTACTTAAATTAGTTATTCATAAACAAATTTAAATTAAATTACGAGCAGAGTAATTAATTCTATATGTATATATGGATATATGCATGTATGTATGTATGTATGTCTATACACACGTGATAATTGTGTATGTAGAAAAATAACTTGAAATGAAATCCTCGCTAACTTGTGGCAATTAATTATGAATATTTTATAGGAATTAAATTCAATTGCAGTTATTTCAGAATGTACACACACATACATAGCTACATATGCTGCTATGCCTACATCATGTTTAATATCAATGCGTACATTGGCTTCTGACAATTTATATTTTTAATGCTATTTTTTATGACGCTAAGCCTTTAAGGTAATATGCATATTTATGGCATATTTCTTAAAGTATGGCTTGTTGTTCTTGCTGTTGTAATGCGACACCCGACGACAGCGATTGTTGATTTTGACGCATTTCTCTCTCAAATTTGTTACCGGGCAAATTAATAAACTCCGCGACGTATTCAAGTATTTATTAACATTTGCACGTGAGTCATCACGACATTCCTTGGAAAACATTTAAATAAACAAAAGCAATGCTCGCACTACCCGGTACACAGTTAGTTAATCAGTTAGCGGTTTGATTGGCTTAAAAAAAAAAAACAAAAAAAAAGTCGGCGCCATTGATTGTTGGCCGATTTCGCACGCGCCACCGTACTGCTCATATACACTTATGTATATGTATTGTTCGTATACAGCATGAACTTGGAAGCTATTTAGTGCAACAGGTGTTTATTTGTATATCTATATATATGTATGTAAATAGGTTCTGTGTATATTTTTTTAGTTAACTTAAAAAACTTGTTTTTAATATTTTTCTCCTTCTTCTTTACTCAAAGTGGAATTTGATGTCGCAGCGGTTTTTATATTAAGTAAAAACTGACGGTAATCAACCATGACGCGTTCATTGGCGACTCAGCGCAATGTCGTGTAAATAACAAAAAAAAAAAAAAAAAAATACAGAGCGGATGCCAACATGTAATTTTGTGTGAAAAGCCGATAAGTGATTGCACATGTTAACAGTAATTTTTACAAATAAAAATATTCCTCCTGCCCTTGTCATCTTTAGAGCCTCATAATTACTTGGTTGTAATTTACAAAATATTAACACCTTTATTTGCGTTTGATAAGCAATATAAAGGGTGCTTCAGTTTTCATTTTAGAAACATAAAGTTTACAAAAACTCGCTTGAACTTTGCACACAGGGCATTGGGTATCCTTATTTATATATATATATATATATATATATATATATATGACTCTTTGTAACCGCTGAAGCGATTTTAGGTCGAGCTCCTGCTTCAATTTCTGGTTGGGCATCTTTATGTTTTTTCCAATAAATGGATGGACCTACACTTTACGGTAAGCCGCCTCCGAATGGCTGAAGTTTATTTTTGAGGAGTCATTAATAAACTCGGAAGGGTTGGCTAAAATTTCAAAGACGTAACTACAGAAATTGGTGAAATCACAGTGAATGCAGAATGTTGTGGTAAAAATGCCAAATATGAATTTTAGCTAAAAAGAAGACATCGCTAATTATAGCATGCTCTAGGGCGCGAGTTTCCAATACACATTCCCGAAAAGGTTACGTCTATATGAAGACACTCTGAAGGTATGCAAAAGCGGAATATAACACCGTAGATGTGTTTACAGAGAGTGAGGAAACTGAGTGTTTACAACTAAGAAGCTGAACAACAGATTTGGTGAGATTTGGTCAAAGAGTTTGGGAGATCATTGAGGCTTAGTTTAGAAAATACATAATGGAATACTCTTCAATCAAAAAAACTTCCATTAATTAATACAAAACTACAATATTTAATTATGATCAACATTTAACACGAAACTATGTATTGAATGAGGAAGAGCTAAGCTCGAATATAACCAACATTTAACTCGTTACTGCTACGGTAGATAGATTTGAATACCAGTTGGTTCCTAAAATTTTTTCACGTTTGAGTAAATTTTGTAATTACGTCTTTTATTGACAGGTAGAGAGCGACCAGGTTTCGCTTGAACTTTCAAATTCAAAACGATTTCTTTTAAGCTTGGTAAATAGCCAGAAGTCACACAGAGCCAGACCCGGCGGATACTGTGGGTGTGATACTGTAGGTGTGAAGGAATATGTTTTGGCGAAAAACTCACGCAGAATCAATGCAATGTGAGACGATTCCTTGTACACGGTTTGATCAGGCGGCAGGAATTCATTATGTACAGCAACTCGATAATAGAATCTCCGTAGAAAATGTACAAAGGTAATATTATTCACTACAGCATCGAATGCAGCAAATATTTCATGTAGGAGATGGTCTAAATTCTGGACCTATCTGTGCCATTTTTGGGTGCTTCATAGAAATAAAAACAATTTTTCGGGTTTTCCAGACCCAGTATTTGTTTTCCTATTTGTCATTCAGCACCGGTTGTGGTAATTATCTGTTATTCTTGTTGCTGTTGTACTGGTTCCCCAACCTCGCATAGAAGTAGTCATCGAGAGAGGGTGAACTTCATTCACTGGAAAGAAAGTTCACTCCACACTGTGTGGCATTCAAAGTCTGTCATGCAGTCATTTTGTCTAATGATTTCTATCTATGGTGCTGAAAGGTCCCCCATTACGCTGGTACTCACTTTCTTTTAGTAGCATCTCAGCAGAAATTTTGCTTGTACAGTATAGTATTACGCTCTTTAACTCGTACCATAGACGTTTCATCCTACAAGTGATGCTTCGGTGTCATCAGAAGGGTTACCCGATGTCCTAAATAGTGTAAGGCTGGCGCAGGGGTGACCGCTCTCGGCCGGATAGAAACCGGATTAACTCCTTTGGGTAGAACCGGCAGTCATGAGAGTTGTTACCCCAACAAACTCTTCCGACTTAGTGTAAATGTCAGGAATCATACGGTTCTTGTTGCTTACAATTAGTATCTTTGTCAGAAGTCACGTTTCACGATGTCGCGAAGGATATAGTTTTTTGGCATGAAAACCAATTCTTCAATTGTATGTATACTCGTATATGTATGTATATGGTTAATAACTTGAAATATGATGTTGAAGAAGTCTATGCTGCCAAAGATGATATTCCAGGACTTTTAATACGACTTATTAAGGCTGCGCCTTCAGCAAAAGTAGATGTCGTTTTCCTTCCTTCCTTTTTGGCTTACTGGGGTGTCAGCGCTAACTTGAGGAATACCAGCTTTAACTGGAAAGTACTGGAATGTGTTAAATTCCGATTGTTTTACGGCAAGCCGCTGTCTAACAGGATATGACTCATATATATTGTAAAATTTAATCGGAAAAGTTTTATAAATTTTGTATAATTGGCCTTTTGTGCCAAACATTGTGGAACGCTTGTGGTACTTCAAGAAATAATGGATCACAAGACTCCTTGAGCTCGAATGTTTTCCTAATTTCACTAGTAATTGGGTGGACTTATTCTAGAGTACCAGTTCGGAATTGGTGTTCCAGTATCACTTTGTCACGATGAAGAATATGAGATAACTTAAATAGCGGAATTCTTCCGAATAATGTCGAGATTCAGAGGTAGTAGAATTATTGCTCTGTAAGAAGACGCTTCTGTGTGGTCTTTACCTAGTTTGGTTAAATTAATATCAATGAATTTTTCCACGCATTCGGTGAGTGGCTTAGTTCCAGAATGGCATTAAAGAGTGCAGAAATAATTTTTATTGAAACTAGCTCAAAGCCTGGTGTAATTTTTGGCTCCGATTCGTGAGTCGCATCAACAACTTCCAAATGAGTGCGGTGTTGTTTCAGCATTGATCGAACTGTTGAGGAATTTTGATGAAGGCGAATCATTGAAAAATATTTATGTCTTTTATATAACATTTTTCAAATAAAACTTTTTCATATTCAAAATTTAAAATTTTCTATATTCAAAAAATCCAAATCCAGTTGTTTTCACAGTAGCAAGAGTTGAGGTTGATATTATTTGTACGTTAATTATCTGAAATTTCTATTTGTTCAACTTTTTCAATTTGCGCATATTCTTTTCACCTTTCCAAACACAGCTCGTATTTGCCTTTCAGGCGGGTTCGTATATTTTTATATTCTTTAGCTAACAATGAATCATGAACGGAAGTTAGTTACTGCTTTCCTAAAGTCTATAGCAATAACGTGCTGAAACTGCAAAGCGCCAATTAATATCTGTTTCTACCTTTTACAGTCTCTACGTACTCGAAAAGTAGATTTTATTTACTGTTTATTCCAGTAGTGAATTTGTGTGGTTTGTTTAGCTTACTTTTTTATTTACATTTCGCTTTTTAATTGACGTAAGAAATGGCAAATTACGTATTTTTATCGGTTAATTAAATTTTTTTTTTCAAATTCGTTTGTTGTTGTGGGAAAAAAAATATATATATATGTATATATTGCTAATTAATTATAGAAAAGTAAACACACAGTTAAATTAATAATCTAATACCTCCGAATGTGTGCAAATATAAATAAGGAATTTAATTAGTCGCATTGATCGCATCGCCAATTAAACTAATCTTTTTGAGAATTAAGTAAATATGTATGCACGGACTGAAATTTTGATAAGAAAGCAGAAAATTTAATTAGCCTGAGGATAAAATTGGCTAATTAAAAGGGATTTTTAAGTAACTGTTGGTTAGGTGGGAATGTCTACTCGAGACTTCCTCGACATGGTATCTTAAGGTAGGGTTAAATAATCATTATGCTATTTATTTTATTACACCTTTTAAGTTATTATGTTAAAATGCTTGAATACTTCTAAAATGTGGAAATTCTTTCGATTCCAAATTCAGGGATATCCAATTTGCAGTATCGAATATGAACTTAAATATTGATCGACTAAAAATTTCGCTCATCTTTTTTTTTTATTGATTTTTCAAAATTTAATAACTTTGTGTACATTTTTCCGATTTAAGTCAAATATGCGCCGTTTTGTTCGTAACCACTATACCCCTGTCGTAGCAAGCTGCGTCCCTATTGGCAAAAAACTCGGAGAGCCAATTTTCACAGACCTCTCTTGAGGCCAACTTCTCACCATTAAGCGCATTCGCCATGGACAGGAAAAGATGGTAATCACTTGGTGCCAGACCCGGATTATAAGATGGGATCTCCATTCCGAGCTCCTTGAGCTTCTGGCGCGTCACCAAAGACGTGTGTGGACTGGCGTTGTCCTGATAGAACACAATTCAGCTTCTGTTGATCAAAGATGACCTCTTCTGGATGAGTGCTGCCTTAAAGCGCTGCAGTTGTTGGCAGTAGAGGGCCAAATTAAGCATTAAGCCGTTTGCGCTCGATGTTGTCGTAAGTGACACATTTTTCATCGCCAGTTTCAATCCGCTTCAGAAACGGGTCAAATTTGTTGCGACTCAGCAGCGATTCGCAGTTTGAAATTCGGCCCATAATGTTTTTTGCGTTAGTTCCTTTGGCACCCAAAAATCGAGCTTCTTTTTGAATCCAAGGTTATGCAAATGGTTCCAAACGGTATTCTGGCTTACCTTTAGTTCCTCAGCAAAGCGAAGCTTTGTAAACTTCGCTCCGTTTAAGGTCATTTTCGAACACTTTTTGGCACATGTAGGTATGTATATCAGTGACGAATGTTGGTTTTCAAATGCTCAAAAGGTAAAGGTTTATCCGCGTAAACACAGTCGTTCGTTACCACTAAAAAGGGCAACGTCAAGTCAAACCGCACGATCTCGGTGGCCGTTTGACATCGCCAAAACGAGAGATTACGTGGTCGGGAAATTTCTCTCGCAATAAAGCCATATTCACTCGTTTAGTGTAGCATGTGACATCATCTTGTTGAAACCACATATTGTTAAAGTCTTGTTTTTGAACTGCAAGTCAGCGACAGTATTGCCGTTGTCGTTTTCAAAGAAGTAAAACCCTCTCCGAACCGTGTGATACTAAGCGAGATTTGTGACTTCTTGCTGCAGAGCTAAATAAAGCTGGTATAATCTTCAATAAGAGTGTACAAATGCAACGAGGACAAAACGAAATATCTCCTGTCATCTAACAAACAGTCATCTTATACGCGACTCGGCTCCCACGTCACCTATGATAGTTTTAAAATTTAGAGTTGTAGATTATTTCATCTTTCTTGAAACATATTTGCGAACAGGTCATACTTTGGAGTTAGTAGGCAATTGAAAAGTAAGCTAGTCTCTCGACAAACCGTGGACAATGGCAAGATCAGATGAGTCGGCGCTAGGAGTTTTCGAGAGAAAGAATTTTCATAAGATCAATGGTCCTTTGCACATAGGCAGCGAATAATATGGCAGCCGATGGTACGAAGAGCTGTACGAGTTATACGGTGACATTGACATAGTTCAGCGGATCAAGAGACAGCGGGCTAGGTCATGTCTGGATGGACAAGTTGAAAGTTTTCCATGAAGAGAAAAAGACCCCAACTGTATTGGAAAGAACTGGTAGAGAAGAACCTGGTAGCGTTTGGTACAACATTTTCCAATAAGAGGAAAGCAATCTCAGCCAAATGGCCGTCGCGGTTATGCTTATTTTTTGTGAAATGTTCCATCACCAAATCGCTGTTTGCCCTCATTTGCTTTACAAATCCCTTAGACTTTACCTCTCACTTGAGCCTAAAGGAAGAAGTCGGAAGGTCTTAAATCACAAGATCTCCTTTAGGAGATCTATGATTTCGTTGCTTGTATGGCACGTAGCGTTGTTTTGTTGAACGTAAGTATTATCCAGATCAATATCATCCATGAAATACCGGATCATTTTCATTCATTTCAAAAACACATTTAGCTAAGATACGGCATTGTAGAAAATCGGCCAGCTTAAGTTCTTGTGTTAACTGAGCTTTATAAGCCTTGAACCCCAAGTTTTTAGGCGAAATACGTTGTGATGACTTTTGTAAAGTTCCCAATCCCAATAAAGTTCCCAATCCCAAAAAACGACGGATTTTTTCAACACAGTGGGCTACAGCAGCAATATCCTTAGTTTTTCTTGAGCGATGTGTAGGTATTTTATTCTTCACATCGTTCGAGCAGCTCCATTTTTTCCACAAAACTGTGTATTGCGGTTAGACAAGGTGCGAAACATCTCTGCCAGATTTTGTTATTTTTATAGTGAATTTTAATAATCTCAATGCATCGTTGAAGATGTTCCAATGTCAAAAAGAAGAGGAAGAAAGAAATCAAATAAAAGTAACCCAAACTAGAATTCTCAATTAAAATCTTACCTTTTTTTGCCTTACGAAATTTGGTTCTGCTGCGTCGTAAAAACCAAAATAAAATTTCAATGGAATCGCAGAGAGCGCTTTAACTCTCTTTTCTCATGCGCACACATTTTTTTAATTTCAATAAATAATCAATCTAAACAAACTATCATTGCATATTCACATACCCACATGTATATACATACATATGTATGTATATATGTGTGTATGCATATAAAAATATTATTTCTACAATTCACTTACCACATCATTTACACTTCCGCCATCTCCCCGCGCCTCTTCACTCGTTTCATTTGCATTCTCCGCTGAGTTATCCCCATCAACGTTGCGTTTGTGTATGAAACGTGTTGGAATCTCAATGCACGCAATGTTGTTGTAGAGTGAGGAAAAGGTGATTACGGTCAACAGCAGCATTAGAGGTGATGACGATGTGCACATCAAGCGTTTTATATGCATTTTTGTATGTTTTTCTTGTCTTTTTACTGTTTTTGTTTTTTCTGTTTTATTTTGTTTGTTTTTTGTTTTTCTTTTTTTGGCTTTTTAATCAGTTATTCTTAAGTGTTAATTTATTTAACTGTTTATTGCTTTTGTTTCTACTTTCTAACAAATTTGTTTTCAATTTTTATTTATTTATTTATTTTAGCTTTTGTTTTTGTTTCGCGTATATATCACAGATATGCACTTAAGTGTTGTGATAATTATTTTGAGACCGACAGCAGGCAGGTAAATATATGCATAGAGTACTTCAGCAATTAACATTTAATTATACATACATATGTATGTTTGTTTGTATATGTATGTGTAAACAAATATTTTTGTTTGTCGTTTGGTTAATGTTGTCCAGCAAGGGTTGTTTTAACTAATGAACCTGTTCGATAACGAAAATGAGATTGAGAAAAGGTGGGAAGAAAAAAAATTTAAATCTAGCAAAAAAGGTTTAACTCTGTTATTTAGGTTAAATAAATTTAAGATTCAATTATTTTTTCCTTTTTAATTCCAGTTTTCATTCAATTTTGATATTTTAAGCTTTTTTTTATTGAACAGTCTCTGCATTTGCATCATTTTTGTTTTTCAAATCTATATTGTTTTTTGGTTTCTTTCTTTTCTAAAAATTTCTTACGCCTTTATTTGTTTTTTTTTGTTATAATTGTTTTTTTTTCACTATTTGTATGCACACTTGTGATGTTGATGCGCATGCGCACAGGTGTTTGGTTTGTTTGTATACATATAGACGCTTCACTTATTTGTTTACAGGTGGAATACACAATGCATAGCCATTGTTTAAGAATGCTTACATATGTATGTATGTATGACTAGTGATAATGTTCAGTTATTATTCAGCACTCAGTTATTATTATTTTTATTTGCTTCAACTCTGATACGTATTCCACGGTAGTTGCCACCATTTGTCATCATATTTAGCAAACATTCAAAAAAAAAATGTTAATAATTTATGTAACTACATACATAAGTATGTATGTATGTTGAGTTTTTAATTGTTGCTAGTTGCATTTTGGCCGCGAATAACCTTTAGAACACCGAGTGTTAGAATCAACGGCATCGCACTGCATTTTGGAGAGATCAAATCAGCTTAGATTTGAGTACATGCGTAGAATACATATGTAAATACAACGCTAACTCAAATACTATCTTTTTCAAGCTCAAGAAGTATAAATAAGTATTATATAATTACAACACTTCATCAAATTTAAGCCTCTCAAATATTTAAATTGGATTAAAATGGCGCCAAAGGTTAGCCTTGATAAGGTAACGAAGTTCAAATAATTCGAGATTATAATGCATGCTCTTAAATACTACGGTGTTAAACAAGCGCGGATAACTTCCTGTGAAGAGCCCTCGCTATCTTTTTATAAATTATTTAGATATATTACTGATATGGAACTCCAATTACCAGGTTCATACCGATAAATTGGAGTCTGTTCAAAAACAATTTTTACTTTTTGCGCTAAGACATTTCCATTGGAGCTCTAAGATAAATCTTCTTCCCGATACCAACCGTTTAAAGCTTCTGAATCTAACCACTCTCGCAAGGCGTGTTAGGCGCCCTGTTCGTTGTGAAACTTCTTAACGGTTCAATTTGTAGTTCATGGAGCTTACCTGAGGCAGTTTAGGGCTTTACTGTTAAAGTCATATAAAACAATTAATGTATTGAATGAAACTTTTCACCGTTTAAGTCACAATTTTAATTTTCATTCCAGCGCCTCCGATCTCTCAGACTAACTTTTTGGCATCAAAACAATTAATTTTTCTACTATAAACAATTAAATTTGAAAATTACTAAGTTTCAGCTGCCGGATAATTATTTTTTTCTGTAGCTGAACAGTTTTATATCTCAACGCTGAACAAATCAAGATTCCGCAGATATGCGATTTTGGGTGAAAATCCCGTAGAAAGCATCGAAGGCCTTGAAACCATACAATCGGTTGTTCAGACGTAAATTTTGCTATTCTACACAATTACATGACATTAAATATTAGAAAAAATATTCATTCCGAAATGGGAAGCTTATAGCCTGTAGCCCCTTTCAAACGATTTTTCAGAGTGAGTGAATAAATTTTTAATCCTAAAGTGCAATGCAATAAATTTGATACGTTCATGAAGAACATAAAAACCTCGAACCGACAGAAAAAGTGAATTCTTGTATATATTTTCTAAGATATATAATGAATCTTTCATATAAGCAAAAATTCTGTGGCGCTTCTGTGTAAATAAAAAGGTTACCCCTTCGATAGTCCTTGGCAGCGTATGCTCACCTACTACCTTGAATATTGTAACCAGCGACTGCTTCAGACCTATCAGCACCCTCAATTGTTGCCCAAAGCAGTGAACAATGGAGAAACACTCCCACTGTAGAACGTTCCACGAAATTATGTGGGGTAGTGTGGATTGTGGATAAGCTAAGCTGTTGCTAACTTTAAGTGAATGAAAACTTATTATTCTGTTAGGTGTATTGACATAGCATTTTCTGTTGTGATATAATTTCCACAAGCTAGGTAAAGTGGCACTGACGGACTTCAAAGCACGCAACGCTGGATCATTACCTTTGTGTTTGTCCAGCCTTCAGATCTAACTTTACGGAGGTGGGCACACATGGTTGAATGAAATTAAACCAATTTATTAAAACCGTAGCCGTAATAGCCGAGTGTTTGGAAATGTGCACTGCCATTTTGAAGACTGGTGCTCCAAAATTATAGAAAATTTATTTTCCCAATTGCTGCCCGTTCAAAGGCAGTTCAAAATAAACTGTAAGTCTCTTCATATCTTGTAAAACATCAAAACGTATACCACAAATTGGAAAGCTTGAACGAAAATCGCTTCAGCAATTTTAAAATGATCAGGTGTACAACTTTGCTTCCGCCGTTTTTTTTTCATATATATAATATTATTGAACTTGGTGAAAGAGGTCTTTTGGGATATGTGCGGGAGTACACTGAGCCTACTCTTTTGATTTTGATCATCAAGGTCTGGTGCTGAAGGAAATAAACAGAGACAGATTTTTTAAACTATTGGGTTGTCCCAAAAGAAACCCGCGATTTAAAAAAATTAAATAAATACATTTTTTAAACTTTATAATGAACTTTAATCAATTATGTAATTTCCATTTTGTTGAATGCCATGTGAGATTTTATAGCCTCGCAATTTTCGAAAGTTTCAACATTTAATGAGTTCTACAAAGATCGAAAGAAATGCTAGTCTGACGGTGCAAGGTCAGGGCTATATGCTGGCGAATGACCAAAGTTGTGTGCGGTCTAGCACTATCTTGTTGTGTGATATGAAACCTTTATGATTGAATAATTCGGGCCGCTTTTCATTGATGGTTGTATGCCATTTGTCCAGTTGTTCACAGCAGACTTCCGAATTGATCATTTGGTTCCTTGGAAGCAGCTCAAAATATACCACATCCTTCCAATCCCACCAAACTGATACCATAATCTTATTTTGGTGAAGTGGTAGGCGCTTCATCATGCTTGGATCATGATAGCTTTCGATTGAACTTATTATAAACAATATTCTTTCATCTCCAGGTATGCTTAAAAAAAGGATGATATTCATTCAACTTTTTAGTAACTTGCGCAGCATTTTTTTCTTTAAGTAAATATTAAAATAGAATATGGCGAAAATGCTCTTTTGTGGGCTCCGTATTAAATTTGACGTCAAACAAACAAACAAAGATACAATAAAATATTCAAAAGCTGTTCAAAAAAATTGTAAAGGCCGTCTGTATGAAAAATCGCCGGTTTCTTTTGGGGTCAACTCTATATATAAAAAAGTTTTTTATACCTAATTTACAGCTTTTTATTGTAACAGTGTTCATAATATATTTTTTGTTATTGCTGCACATTACTAAGGGTCGTAAATATTTTTATAATATTATAAGAACAACCAGTATAACTTCATAGCCTTTATCTTATATCTCTTAGCCCAGTTAGTACCACACAATCAATTTCATTCATAATTTTTGATAAAATTAAAAACTTAATGCTGATAACAAATAACTGATAAAAAAATGATGTCATGAATAATTTTATAAATACGTAGTGGTAATCTTATAGTAACAATAAAAAACATGTTCAATGCTAAACGTTCCCAACTTGACATTGATACTAGTTCTCCGTGTTCTTATCTAGCAGCCATTGATTGCTTGAGGTAAGAGGTGTCAGTAAATGCTGCCGAGATTACATTAAAACTGCTATATATTATATTAAAGACCTTTAGCTAAAAGTTAATGGCCATGCAAAATTAATTGCTTTAAAATTAACTTATTTAACACCGACGCTGAGAGTGGCAGAGGACTAGTTCCGAAAATAACTGATTTTCTTCATTTCAAGATATTTAATATAAAAGTTCAGGCACCAAAAAAATGGAAAAAATAGAATGTATTAGTTTTATGTATAAATTAGCATAAAACTATAATTTGAAAGCGATCGTTACTATTGATCACAGTTGGAGTTCAAAAATAGCTTTCTTCCTTTGCGTATCTGTCAAATCTGTTTCAAGCCACCGATTAGATTTGGCGACTCTCTATTGTGTGACTCTCTCAATCTTATGCTATAGAAAATAATATGAACAGCAGAGCCCATTATACAAGGATGCGAAGAGAATGGGTTTGGTAGCGAATGATGAAATGGTAGTAAACTTCGTTAATTTGGAACCAGCTAAAACAGTAGTAAAAATATCAGCCTGAACATTACATTTGCCTATAGGTGCTGCTTTGAACAAAGTAGGCGATTGAAAAGTAAAGGCCTCTCTCAACAAGTCGCTCATCATTACCGTCGTGGTATAGGAGATGATGCGGAGACTTTTGGACGATGACAACAACCGCTCAGTCAGCATTAGAAGCTTTCGAGAGAAAGGTTTGCAGAATATTTATTCGCCTTTGCACACTGGCAACCTCGATTGCCGCAGACGATGACGAGGAGCCAGTATGAGATGTACGACGGCTAGGTCACGTTATCCGCATGCATTCCAGTTTTGAAAGTATTCTACGTAGTAACCGCTGGGAGAAACGGAGGAAGAACAAAAAATGCTCTTCGTTGAATAAATCAGAACAACTGGAATGCTATAATTTCGCAAGTAGGCCAACAGTAGATGGCAGAGTGAAACCACGTGCAACGAGACAAGGCAAATCCCACCATCAATCGAGGTAAACAGAACTAAATCTCTACTTCTTCTAAGCCGGACTTCAATAAGCATAACAACCGGCATGATAACCGGACATTCTCTTATGGGGACTTATGGTCGAAAGATAGTCAATTTTTCCAACTACCTCTGCAGTATCTGCAGAGACATAGATGAGAAGGAATCGGTGGAAAGTAAACTCTGCCAGTGTCTAGCTCTCAGTGCGGT